TATGCAAGTTCTTGATCTAGGTTTGAGTTTATCATCTTGTTTCTGGTTGTGGGTTTCAGCAAACTACTAAATTACTGGTTGACTCAGTCACCCCTCACTGGGAAGCTCTTCAGGTTGAAAATGACTTCTTCTAGTTCCTCTTAGTTCTGTGATACTACTCTCTGCTCCTAGGATAAGCTCCATACAACTACCCTTTGCTTACTAAAACTTGTTCTAGGCTTAATACACAGGTAAAGCCAGCACAAACAACTCCTCTCCGCTCTGAATCTGTGACCTGGCTCTGAGTGGTAGGCAACAGAGCTGCCAGATGAAACTTCTTCCTGCACCCAGTGCTTTCTCAGGGATCCCTAGGATATACTTCTGGTTTCCTGTTTTGACCTTCTCTCGGTACCTAGGTGCTGGAATGCTCTTTGCCACAGCTCCTGGGAGTTTCTGCCAGTCCACATCCCCAGACCTCTCTGTCCAGCTCCCTTAAGCCAAGCTGGGCTGGAAAAATGACAAAATAAGACCTCTTGGCTTTCTTGATCAGAATTATGTCTGGTACATTCTCTAGATTTTTATTGAGGAGGTATGGGAAAAGAGCTTGACTCCAATGTTTCCTCTGACTATGCTATCTTGACTCCTTTGACTTATTATTTTATTGATTATCTAAACTTAAGAAAGAGATGGAGAAAATGTTAATACTTCAAATTAAAATTTACAATGTTGTGCATACTTTCTCCTCCTCCCCTTAGGATTCCAGTTATTAAATTACCAGCACAACCCTGATCTGAACCACAGCTCTTTGTGTGTGTGACCTTTGGCAAATCACTTAACTTCTCTTCTTCTAAAATGAGGGGGTTGGATTAGATACTCTCCAAAGGCCGTTCAGGCTTGAAATTCTATTATGTTTTTGTATTTATTTTCTTAAATCAAATCAGTTGCAAAGGTTAATGAAACTGGGAACTATTGGGATGACAGATTAAACAATTAAGCACAATATTATGATAATATATCATTATAACATATTGTATAAGGGTTTTCAGTGAACAACTGTAATCCCAGTTGCTGGAGAAGCTGAAGCTGGTGGATTGCTTGAGTTTAGAAGTTTTGAGCTGCAATGGGCTAGGCTATTAGGTGTCTGCACCAATTCCAGGACCAATATGGCAATGCCTTGGGAGTGGGGGGATCACTAGATTGCCTAAGGAGAGAGGCAAGCTGGCCCAGGTTAAAAATGAAGCAGGTCAAAGTTACCATGCCTGAGATGACATAGGGAGATTCAGGGTTCTTTTTTTTTGGTAATTAAAAAAAAATTTAAATACAAAATAAGAAAAGAAAAAAGAAACCTCAATACTAAAACTTAAATACAAAATAATGTCATGTGCACAGCAGAACATAAAAGAGGATTCAAAATATAAAACAATAAATGTCCATTTTAAGAAAACCTATATAATACATACTACACATTGTGTTCAGAGCTGTCCATCTTTTCTTTACTTCCTTGTAGGTCTTATTTTGTTCTCTGCTGGATATTCTTTACTTTGTTCTTTGTTTTTTCCCTTCCTCTCCTCTCTCCCCTAAGAAGGCTACAATTAAGCATAGATATAGTTATACACACACACACAAACATACAATATACATATTCATATACACACAAACATATATACATATATACACATATACATATATACATATATGTCTATAATCATGTACTTATATATACATATACATTCATATGCATCCATGTAAGACTGTACTATGAGAGATTCCATTTGAAAGAAAGATTGAAAGAAAAATATTGAAGGAAGGAAGGAAAAAAAGGAGAGAAAAAGAAAATTAAAGGAAAGAAGAAAAAGTAGACAGGAAAGGAGGAAGATAAAAGAAGGAAAAGGAAGGAAAAGAATGGAAGGAAGGAAGGAAGGATGAAAGAAAGAAAGAAAAAAAAAGAAAGAAAGAAAGAAAGAAAGAAAGAAAGAAAGAAAGAAAGAAAGAAAGAAAAAGAAAGAAAGGAAAGAAGGAAGGAAGGAAGAAATAAAGGTTTGCATAAGATAATATTACTTATTTTAGTCTTGATATGTCTAAGTACCTTTACTCTTTTAAAATATAATAAATACTAGGATCCAGAGCTAAGGAAATGGGAGATGATTGGCAGTTCTTCAAATATGAAATAGGCAAGATGAGCTACCTATTCAGGCACCTTGTCCCCACCAACTACAAACTCCCTCTCTCTCTGTGTCTCTTAACCCTTCCCCCCCCCCCCCCGCTCTCCCTGTCTTTTGTCAGCATGCATGGTGGTGGTGGAGGAAATGACTTGTAAGCTATTTGTGGCAGAAACATGGAATATGAAGAATTATTTTCTTTTTGTGCCTATACTCCTTGTTACCTATTCAGGGAAATGACTCATAGAAGTGAGGTATTATGTAAGTGTTTAGTTTTATTTTGTTTACATTGTTCTAATCATTGGGTATACTGGTTTCTGGGTTCTGCTTTCCTCATTCTGCATCACATCACTTCTCTTTCCAAGCTTCTCTGAATTCTTCATCTTTTTTTCCCATTATATTCATGTACCACAATTGGCTTAGCCATTCCCCAATTAATGAGCATGTCTTATGTTTTCAATTCTTTGTGTCGATAGTATTCTTGTTCAGATAAAATTTAGACTAAATTGTGATGTTCCCTTCCAACTCTGAGATGTGATTCTGTGACTGTAGAAGTCTACCAAAAAAAGGATGGAGAGTTGGCTTGCCTATTTATGTGTTCAAACTGAATCTGTGATTTTTGTTAGACTAAATAAAGTCTGTCCAACATTTGATGTATTGGTCTGAGTATTTTTATGGGAGCTGGAGACTTCTTGGGTTACAAATCCTGGAGCATAGACCAAATTTTAATACTCTCAGGGGACACATTTTATGATTTGTGTGAGACTCTGTCAATATTTAACCCAAACTATGTAAACCTAGATCTTTATATCTGGACAAATTACATCTGTACCAGTGCATTGCTTTCCGACTTGAAACAAGGCACTTCATTCTTTGTGCCTCTCTTTCTTCAGTTCTTAAATGGAATCTATTGTTGTTGTTTGTCCTTCACTTTTGAAGAGGACCAATGACCTCATGGGTGATGTCCTGATTTATGCATGAATTGTATTTAAGTGAGGTAGAGTTGCAGAAAGTCATCAGTCTCATTCTGTCTTCCAGAGTTATCAAAGTCCAATGACAAGACAAAAGTCAAAATGACTGATGATAGCTTCAGATGCAGTAGATGACCTTGGCATTTCAATATCTGACCAAGCTATAGGCACTTCACAATGCTTACTTCAGCCTCCTTCTTGGCCATTGGAACAAATTGTTCTCATATTTATTATTATTATTATTATTATATTTCACTTTGGAGAGCTCTAATTAAGTTCTTTCTACTATCTTGTCCAAATTTGCCTCTTTGAAAAGTCTACCTTCTTAGTTCTGTCCTGTGGGGTCAGGGAGAAGAAGTCTAAAGACTCTTCCAGATATTAGTCCTTCAAATACTTAAAAATGGCTATCATGTCTAAGTTCAAGGCTAAAAACATCCTAGTTCCTTCGAATGTGATGCTCATATGGCTTGGAATTTTAGACTTTCAGAAACTTATTGTCACTTTTTCTGTTGATGCCCTTAAGATTATCAAAATATTTCCTAAAATGTGACTAAATATGCTATATGTGGTCTGACCAGGGCAGAGTGTAGGGGGATGATCACCTTCCCAGTCCTGGACACTATGCTTTTCCTATTGCAGGCTAAGATGGCATTCACTTCCTAGGGGGCATATCATACTTGACTTCTATGGAGCTTATGGCTCAGTCACATCCTCTGACCTTTTTCAGACAAACTGCTTTCTAAACATCTCTTCTATCTTATAGTTATGAATATGATTTTATGAACCAAAATGTAATGATTTATATTTATTACTATTAAATTTTATCTTATTCTATTTGGATCCTTCAGAATCTAAACTCTGCAATCCTGATTCTCTCCTTTCCAGCTTTGTGTCCTCTGCAAATTTGATAAACATGCCATTTACACTTTTGTCACCGATAAAAATATTAAACAATACCGGCCCAACAGAGATCCCTTGGGCACTCTACTGGGGACTTCCAAAGATCCTCCATGTTGACATTGAACAATTAATGGTGAATCTTTGGATATATTCATTCAACTATGTACTTCCAAATCCTTTACACTGTGCTATCATCTACCCTGCATCTCTCCATCATATCCACAAATAGATCATGAGAGACCACATTCCGTTGATATTCTGGCTTAGTAATGCTGTCAATAAAAGGAAATAAGGTTAATCTGCCATGGTTTTTTCTTCAGAAAATCATGTTGATTCTTTGTGATGACCAATTCCTTTGCTAGGAAGTACCCAATCATTTCCTTACTATTATGTTCTAGCTTTTAAAAAAAAATTCTCTTGACACTGCATGGATATCAGTGGAGCATTTGAGCTATCCATTGGTTGTCTATCGTTTTCATTATATGATTGACCCATTTTTTTCCTCAGGTTAAACATTCCTTTGATGGCAGCCTTTATTTTACTTTGATGGCATGCCATTTCCCTTATGTAATTCCTCATTTGTAATGTGTTGCAATCTACTGATGTTCACAATATACCACTCCATTGCTCCTGGATGATTCTTAAATTCTTTGTAAAATAGTATTCTGTGATTATACAACGCTACAAGAAGGAGAGATTATAATAACTGAGAGATGAAAAAAGGCCTGTGTAGAAGATAGTACCTGAATTATGCTTTGAAGGAAGCTTAGGGTGATATGAGTTGATGATGAGAAGTGCATTCCAGACAAGGGGAACCTTTTATGCAAAGATATAGAGGCACTCAGTTTATTCATGGATATCCCCAAACCCATTTCTGATAATGCATTCCCCAAATATTTTTCTTAAGAATCAACTTTAAGAATAGACTATTTTTTTCTAATGTGAATTTTTTTGTTTCATCTCCCTCTCTTATGCTTTTGTTTTCTTATAGGAATCTTCCAAAATGACTAACACCTGCAATAATGAGAAATAACTGAAACCACTTGAAAATTGAATGGAAATATTACCTGAAAAAAGATGCTTTATATTTGTCTTCTGAGAATCATCTAATGCTCAAATCAACTGTCATTACAATCATCCCCCAGAGTAACTTGACTGACATACATAGAATATTAAAAACTCAGGAGAGATAACGAGTTTGACCTTATGACTTTAAAAGAAAAACCTGTGGCCAGAAATTAATATCCTCTCCCTTTAAAAGTTTCATCGTAATTTAGGGACTAATTTGTGAAATTTACACATACATTTCTTCCCTTGTGTATTTTATGTATAATTCTACGAGTAAATTTATATTGTCCAATTTTCTAGAACCTCATAAAATCACCCTGAAATGGAACATAATCAGGCACAAATCCCTTAAAAGCCTTCATCCTAAATTTCTTAATTGTTAAAAAATTCCTTTTGCTATTTCTCCAGTTTTCTGTTTATTTTTGTTAAATGGGAAAAAATAGAGTTTATAACTTTTACAAAGCATGATTATATGTGGGAGAGGTCTGAAATTTTCAGCAATTCTATTTTCAAACTTTGTAATTGAAGGAATGGATTTGGTTTCAGGTTTTTACCTTTCTTTGATAATTCACAATAAACAGTGTTAGGATTACTCGCTAAAACTTTTCTACGTCATAGGCATTCCCTAGGCTCAGATCCAAGGATGTGACCAACATCAGCTAATGAACTTAGCTACAGTTTAGCTGTATTTTCTTTCTTCTAATTATCCTAAGTTAAAACCATCAAACTAGATATTTCCTTCAGATGAGCATGTATTGAGTCCCATAGGAAATCCATTTCATTGCCAGTAACATTTGATATTTTAAGAAATCTTTGTAGTTATCACCAAAGCTAGTTTCTTATTGTAAGTCATATTGATCCTCATTTTTAATTTATAATACCCTTACATTTGTGTAGCACTTTAAAATGTTTTTACATCAATGATTTCAATTGATCTTTCTTAACAACTACATGAGATAGGTGTTTTTATCTCCATGTTATAAATGAGTCAGCTGAGGCACAGAGAATTTTTGTAAAGAGTAATGGGAAAAGCACTGGGCTTATAATTAGAAGGACTAGGTTCAAAGCCTAGATCTGACTTTTTCTAGTTATGTGCCTTGCCATTTAATTCTCTGATCCTCAGTTTCCTCCTCTGTAAAATGGGGGTGATAGCAATTGCACTACTGTTTGTTTGCTGTGACAATAATGCTTTAACTTTAAAGCGCTATATAAATGTTAATTGTAATTATTATTACTTTTAGTCACATACTTAATGGCATACAACCATTTTGTGGAAGATACACAATTATAATTGAGACCTTCTGACTCTATCATCTTCCCATCATACTATATAATAACTGCTTGACCACCAACCTACTATATCATAATTATGTATTCTGTGTGTAATCATTCATAAATTAATCACCAAAGAGGGTTCAAAATACCCCAAAACATTTCTCCTTATACAAAGGATATTCCTTCCTAATAATATTATTTAAATTTGTTCCATTTCTGTCATACTCTGATGTATTTTCTTCTTCCTTCCTTCCTTCCTTCTTTCTTTCCTTCCTTCCTGCCTTCCTTCCTTCTTTCTCTATCTTTCTCATTCTTTCTCCCTTTCCTTCTCTTCCATGTTAAAACAACAACAACAACAGTATAACTTTCAATACCACAAAATTAATTCCTGGTCAGTGAATTCATGGCAATAAATCTGAGTTACCATTAGTGTATATAGAATACTTCCCTTTTTTCATCCTTGAAACACTGTACTAAATATATATGTAAATACTGATTCATTCTTCATAAAATTGTGTTTTTTTAGGTACATGGAAAAAGTTTCATTTCTTCTTTTAGTAAGGAAAAAATGATGATAAAATAAAAATAAAAAGCCTTAGGTCATTGCTAAATCTTGCTAATGAAGTATGATATCAATGAGAAACTGAAATGCATTTGTAATGCATTTCAGCTTTTTTAACAAGGATGCATTTTATATTATCTCTCACACTGACTTTTATTAAAAAGCAGGCTTGGTACTAGAGGATTTGCTATTTCAGACATACCTTTATGAGATTGTTTCTCACTGAAAATAAATTTTCTAGTTCCACATATGGCTACTTCGACCTAATTTTTTTTATGCATATTTATTTTCGGGGAATTTAATAAGCATTTTGTTATGGTCATTTAAAAGTAAGGCCTCCAGACTTGGCAAAAACAAAGTGAATTGTATTTTCTCCTGCATATGGAAGGAGTTTGTTATAGTAAAGGAGAAGGAAAAAAGGAGTGACTTCTTTTGGACAGAGGGACTGCTAACCATTGTCTCATGGCCACTAAAGCATCACATAACCCTGAAAGAGGATATGGTCTAGGTAGTGATGTGCTGGTAAATGTTAAACAACCAGCTGTGTGTGTATCACTGGGCTACTTCTTCTATGTTCAATAGACCATGGTTGAGATGAAAAAAAAAATAGATCACTGTCCTCATTTGTTGTTATACTGTACTCTGAGGGGAGAGGAAAGTCAAATTATTTTCACATTATAAAGCTTTTGCTTTGATTTTTACAAGCTATAAACCAATGTCAATAAATCATTTGGATGTTTACCCACAGTATTGTGTTACAGGTTTATTTTGAGGTCAATAAGGATTGAAACTTATAAATGATCTTTACTATACTTTGGTAATGTTACTACTTAATAATAGTCAAGTGTTTTATTAATGTCAATGACACTAAGGAAAATGGATTACCATCTGCTTTGCTGCTGCATCCTGTCTTTTTGATCTGCCCTGCAGCTGAACCCTCCTATATGGGTTGTTTTCTTTTATTAGAATGAGTTCCTTGAGAACATGAACTGATTTCCTTTTCTATTTGGTACCTAGTACTTAGCACAATGCTTTGTATATAGTAACCACATCCACCTTTTTCATTAATTGATTGATTGATTCATTCATGTGTAAAGTTAGTTTCCTAGTTCACAAATCTGTCCCAATGAACAGAAGGCCTCATCTTTTTTGGCTTTTATCCTCTTCTCTGTTGCTTTGTCTGCCCCAGTGGTGTCTCCCACCCCTCATCAGCTTCCTATGATGGACAAGCCTCAAACTTGTTGGTAAGTTAGGGGAATGGCTACCCCAAGCATGTGAAAACTTTCCTGAGTGGGATGGGCAGATGAGAACAATTTGTCCCAACAGCCATGAAGGTGACTGAAGTGGACACTGTGAAGCACTTAGAATTTGGTTAGACATAGAAGATATTAAAGTCATCTACTGTCATACTACTCCCAGACTATGGCCAGTCATTTTGACTTTTGTCCTGCCACTGGACTTTGATGACTCAGGAAGAGAGAGTGAGGCTGACAACTTTGAGCGACTCTGCCTCTCTTAAATCCAATTTATGTGCAAGTCATCACCCTGTGATATTTTCAGTGCTCTTCAAACAAAGGACGAACAACATTTATCTCACTGGGGATCAAAGTAGGGTTGAACAGGAATCAGGATGCAAACAGTAGTGACTGTGAGCCTTAGCTTATCTTAGGGGCTTATTTGATAAGCTGTAAGAGTTGGAATATGATGAGAATAAAAACAAGGTTATGGGTTTAATTCCAATTTAGAGCATTGAACTTAAACAACAGCACAGTTCTTTTGAAAAGAAGGTCAAAAGTTACTTAAAGATGGGATGGCATTATTCACACTTTAATGTATAGTTCACAGAACTAGTTATAGTGCCCTTTGTACAAAATTACTGCTTCCCATTAGGTTTTATGCATAAATTGTTTGGTTTTTGTTGCTGTTGTTGTTGTTGTTTTATGGTAGAGATAGAGTGCTGAACCATTCACATACTTGTAATAAAGCCAGTTTTTTCACAGGAATATAGATCATTGGTCACAAGGAAACCAGGTGAATGACTGAAACACATCCCCATAATGGGAAAAAGAATTCCATGCTATGGTTGATGAATAGTGTTACTTTTGGTTGCTAGTAGCATGAATTTGTTTAGGCTGATTTTATTTTTGTTTTGTTTTGTTTTTTGAAATAATATTTGGAACTTTGAAACTATATGGTAAGTGAAATACTTTTCTTTATTCAGATGCATCTAATCACAAATTTCAGAATTGGAGGAGACCTCAGAGGCCTTCTAGTCCAAACCTATAGCTGAAGAATTCCCTTTAAACTAACCAGCTTTGTGGTCAGGTATTGTAACCTGTCAAAATATTTTTGAATCTTGACTATCATTCAATGTTTTTTTTTTCTTTACTTTCCAGGTTTGTTTGCAAATTTGATAAGCCTCCCATCTGAACTTTATAAAAGTCACTGATAAAAATGTTAAAGGATAAAATTACAATGCCAATCATAAATCCTTGGGGCAGTCCCCTGGAGCCCAGTGCTGAAGGGTACATCCCCTATATCTATTATCTATTCTCACTTGTGACAGAGTTCATAAGTAAAGAGTATCTTCTCCTTTACAAAGTTAATAAAATAGGGTCTCTGTTTTAAATCTGACTCATGAGTTTTTCACTGTTTAATTCTTATCCAATAACTTTTGAAGGTTGTGACTGATTTGAGATATGCCTAAAAGGTGACTTATGATTCAGCTTGTTTTTTTTTTTAAATGAGAAGTCAGCCAACAAAATAAAGCTTTTCAAATCAACTCAACCTCCTCCTCCCCCCACCATTTTAATAGATTTAGATGAAATTTGTTATGGTGGTCAGAAGTTATTTAAAGAACTTTGTTCACACCTCACTCTGTAATTCAATAGAACTAATTATAATGGTGTCTTTTTCTAAGGAAAGATGGAGTTGCTGCTTCCCTATCATTGTATTTTATATGTTAAATTATTTTCCCAGTTTTAGGGAGAGATTGCATGAAACCGCTCATATATTTTTTTCAAGACATGAATGTATGAGATATTAGAAGTATAGACCTTAGTCATCAATAAAAATGAATCTGACTTAGCCTCCAGCTTAACTTCTCAGTAGATATTTATGACAAAACCCTTCAATCCTAACTTTGCATAAATTTCAGTTTCACAGCTAGGCTTTACTACCTAAATTTTTGAAAATTTTGAAAATAACCTAAAGATTGGGGAATGTTTTGTTTTCTGGTCCTTGTAAACATTTTGCAGTTTAGTAGAAGACCTAGATTCAGAGCCAAAAGGCTTGGGTTTGAATTCTGTGTCCTACTACCTATTTAATGTTGGTCATCATATATTTTCTCCATGTCTCAGTTTCCTCATCTGCAAAATCAGGAGGTTGTACTCAATTTCTAAGGTCCTTGCCCAGCACTAATTCCTATCCATTACTACAATCAAAATATATTAGGTAAATCATCCAATTAATAGTATGTTGTCTCAATTCCGCTCTCCCTGATTGCTATATTGATCGACACTCTGACTGGATAGGATACTCATTGTAGAAAGAAAGAAAGACAAAATCTAATGTTATAAATTTTTGTTTACTGAGACCTCTTCCAAAATGGTGTTTAAAGAACAGGAGATGCATGTGCACAATATATTTGTGGAGAGCAGTTTGTTTTTTGCCCTTCCTTTTTTGAAGAGGACCAGTGACATCACAGGGTGATGTCTTAACTTGCATGTGAATTGTATTTAAGTGAGGCAGAGTTGCATAAAGTTATCAGCCTCACTCTATCTTCCAGTCATCAAATTCCAGTTGCAAGACAAAAGTCACAATAACTAGTGATAGCCCAGGATGCAGTGGATGACCTTGGTGTCTTTGATGTCTGACCAAGCTCTAAGTGCCCCACAGTGCCTGCTTCAATCACCTTCGTGGCCGTTAGAACAAATTGTTCTCGTCTACCCATTCTGCTGGGTGAAGTCTTCACATGCTTACCCTTAACCTGGTTTAGCCCATCTACTGAGAGATTTTACTGGGATGTGGCCATTGTGCATGCTACAGCTTTTTTGAACTGCAGGTGAGAGTTGAGTGACAGATAGAAACCAAAGGTAGATGAACATCCCTGAAAAGGTCTTGGCAAGCCCTCATACCAGAGGTGCTAGTCCTCCTTGAACAACCCATACGCCCTATGAGACCAGTACCATAGTGCTGTATTTAGAATTAGAAGGCCTGAGTTCAATGCCTACCTCAGCTAGTTACTACCTTCGTGAATTTGGTCAAGTCACTCATTGGACATGAGTTTTGTTATTGTAAAACAAGAGGATTGGATTATATGATGTCCAAGGTCCCTTCCTATTCTAAATCCTATGAACAAAAAATGTGTATTCAGATTATACCTTATTTGTCATAAAAGTGGCATAAGGAGCCTGAATCTGGAGTCAGAAGACCTCAGTTGCAATTCTGGTTTTCCACTGCCTATATGACCTTGGACAAATTACTTTACCTTTCTGATCCTCAGTTTTGACAGGTGGAAAATGAGGTGATTAAATGTCCACTAAGGTCCCGTGAAGTTCTAAATCTGTATATAATTCTAAATCTATAATCCTATGATCCTAAATACTTATTATTATATTTAATGATCTATTGCCTTCTGACTGGAAATGCATTTTCTTTTGGGATAATCAATAAGTTTCTTTTCCTATATTTATTCTGTTAACTAACAGAAGACAAAGGAAAAAAATTATCCCACAACATGCTTCTTAAGACATCCTAAAATCCTCTTGTCAAAAACACAACATGCTTTGTATTGTGTATTCAATTTTTATCTATAGTAGTCTATAAAATAAGGCCAACTCTCTAAAGCCAATGTTTCCTAAAAACTTAATGTTTGTGATAGCATATTTATCCTCTCTTAGGTCTATTCGAGTGTTATTTTAATTTTTTGCTTTGATGCTTTTCCCTCCAAAAAGTCTAATGTTTTAGGCTGAGTAACTCCAATCTTCACAAAGATAAATGAAGAGTCCTTGTTTCCTGGTGATGCTAGGAGAGGGTTGGGGAGGAGAGAGAAAAGAAGAGCATGAAGAAAAGGAGGGAGAATGATGGCAGAAATGTTCCTAAGGTTCTCATCTCCTTGATCAGACAAATACCATGCCATAAGAATGACAGACTTGACTAGTTATTTTCCCCCTTTCCATTATCTGAAAATGATTGTAAGCACCACCTCTATTTGTAACATGTGCAGGGATATTGAAAGCATTACTATTTGAAAGGTTTCAACAATTATTTTTCATGCACAGGTTTTTTCAATCTGAAATTAAATGTATCTTGCTAGATTTTGTTCCAACTTGCTAGCCCTTATAAAAGCACGTTATATATATATATATTATATATATATATAATATATATATAGACATATATAGGCATATTTACACATTATATTTTAAATTCACATTTGTAGCTTTTGACATATATAAATGTACATATGTATAGTTGTAATAACTTACATTTATATAGGGCTTTACTAATTATATTATATACTTATTATTTCCTTTGATCTTTATAATAACCCTATGAGTTAGATGCTACAGGTAATATTATCATCAAATTGTGGAAGAGAATACTGAGACCCAAAGAGGTTAAGTTACTTGCCTACAAAAACACAACTATTAAACTTCAGATTAGAACCTAGATTTTCCCAATTCCAAGCCCAGCTCAGTATCCAATGGATCATATGGTCTCTCAGTGCTAAACAGCTTTAGTCTGGTACATGTATTGTAATGTATTGAATATTTATAATCACATCCATTTTCAGAGGCTGACAAGAAGAATTTTCATTTTGAAATCTAAGAAGACCACATGGTGTTTTGGAAATGGCTCCAGCAAGGCTGGAAGGGGTTCTAACCCCAGCTTTACCACTAACTGTTGCAGCTTTAGATATGTCATTTAACATCTTTGTATCTTATTTTTCTCATCAGTAAAGTGGGAGAGTTGAATTAAACAGTCTTTAATATCTCTTGCCTCTAAAATTCTATGTTATAAGATCAGACATATAATTGTCTTTTTTTTTTAAGGAAGGTAGGTGGTGCAGTGATAGAGTGCCCAGCCCAGAGTCAGGAAAAACTTGAGTTCAAATTCAGCCTCAGACACTTACTAGCTGGGTGACCCTAGGTAAGTCACTTATCCTCTTTCAGCCTCAGTTTTTTTCATTTGTAAAATGAGGATAATAATAGCACCTACCTCAGAGGGTTGTTGGGAGGATCAAATGGGACAATAATTGTAAAGCACTTAGCACAGGGCTTGGCATATAGTAAGTACTATATAAATGTTAGCTACTTTAGGTAGTGAACTTAAAATTTTTTTTTCTTAACCTTCCCTCTTAAATTAGTCCTTTAATAAGCATGTTTTCTGATGTATATTACCTGCTTCACTATGAAGCAAATTTGATTATATTTCATAAGAGGTAGAGCAGAATGATGGGAAAAAAATATTAGACTTAGAGGCAGATTGAAGGTCAAGTCCTAACTTGATCACTTACTACCATTATGATGGTAAATAAGTCACTTAACTCTCTCAGATTCTGTTTCCATATTTGTATAATAGTTTCTACCTATTTCCCAGGGTTGTTTTTAGGGGAGCACTTTGTCAGCTGTATTGTGTTAACACGACCCATCAGTCTTCTGGAAGTTGGTGATGTCTCCTGAGTTCTACTCCCATCTAGTTGAACCATGGAGCCCCTGTTAGATAACCACGAGGAGTTAATTATTGGATTTCAACAGGACTTCAAGAAAACCTAAGAAAATGGCATAAGGCATATTTAAAATGATACATGAAGTTCAGCTATTATTATTATTATTGCTGTTCATTTTTCTCAGCTTAGTTCAATGGAGTTGATCAAGAAATATACCTGAGCCAGGTGGCTAATCTGCCATCATTCTTTTGTCTTTAATGTACTCTGGCCTATTATGAAAGATAAATAACTGCTTTTTATAATTAAAAAAGAAACCATTGGGACATAAGCTTATTTTCTTTAGGCTCATTAAAAGCATCTTTGAGACAATTCTAGTAGCAGAAAGGATGGCATACACGTCATCATGTTGCCCCACGGTTTTACTTTCTTCCACTAAATATTCCTATCCTGAAAGTTTCTCATTTCAGGTAGTTGGGAGATTAAATATTCAGTATAGCAACATTTATTGAAATGCCATTTAAATTTTTTTTGGATTAATGTTATGTATGGAAATCACAGGTAACAGTTATGTCTGTGATAATGCTCTTTTTCTAAGATAGTTTATTTGCTAAATTTTCAAGGACATTTTGAGGTCTAGGTTTGTGGTAGGAGGTTCGTTTGTCTGTTAGTATGTGAAAGATTGCAAGCTTTTGATGTATAATTCTGGCTATGTGGTCATGTCTTACTAACTTACTAACTTATTTGCTAGGTAATAAGTTCCTGCAGCCTGCAATGAAATGTTGCACAGTTTCTATCATATCCTTACAATATCTGCATTGAGCAATAAATCCAATGTTCTTAAAGATAATATTTCCTTAATGTCTGGTGGCAACAACCTGATCTTGAATTGCTATTATTAATTTATCCATCTGTGCAAACAAATCCAGACCTCATTCAGTTCTTTGTTGACATGCTGGTTGAGTTCATATGGATGCTGCCCGTGGAAGCTTTTTGATTCCAATCTCAAATCATAGCTTTTTCATAGACTCCATCAAGAAATGTTGTATTTATTTATATTAAACAAAATCAGTCTTATCTACATATTGTTAATCTTTACAATTGCTCTCAACAACCATCTGCTAAGTTAAAAATGGATTGAGATCTGCATTGATGGAGTTAGTCCTTGGACCTGCTACTTAGAACCAAGCCTTAATTTCTTGTAGTCTCTCAATCACACAAACCAGTGGGACCATGTAATGGAAGCCTGCTCTCCTGAGCAAACTAAAATGAGGGTGGCCTGCCTGAAACCAGTATTAGCACCCCTGGAGAGAAGTAGAACTGACACAACTCAGAATGCTAGTGATATGAATGCCAACCACAGGGCATTGGTGGGTCAAGTTTTCTAAGAAGGTCTCATTCTGATTTGCAATCAACTCTCCCAAAGCCCAGCATGAAAGGGTCTTAGAATAAATAATTTTAAAAGTGTAAGGGGACAGGAGGGAAAACAAGGCTCTCATTCTGGTTTCTTTCTGAGAGGGATTCATGTCTCTGCTATGAAAAGAATTAAGTGATTTTTGATGTTCTTTCCAACTCTGAAATTTCATGATTTCATTAATTTTATGCTGTCTTATATTACTTTCAAATAAACTCATTTCTATTAGCAATATCCCCATTGAGATTGCTCCTCTGTGAAGAATTTCTTCATATTAGTATCCTTCCTGAGCCATTTCCACAAAGGTGGTTACATTACTTTATTCTAGGGTGGTCACTGTTGTCTGCAATTTAGGTACTGCTGGTAGTGTCAACTAAGTTGCCTTCTGTTAGTGAACCTGCCTACTTCTTCATTTAGAGCTTTCTCTCAGGCAGAGTTTTCTGTCAGGTACTCAGAGCATCCAAAGCTTTTCCTGGGCTGTCCTATTAATAAAAGGAGCATAAGCATCTCCTATGATCTGGATGGAATTACCATGCAGAGCCCATTTCCATACAGAGCTCTAGAAATAACATGTGAGATGACAGGTGTCTATTTGCCAAAGTTTTGCTTGGAAGGGAACAGAAGGAGGGCCAGAAGGAATCTCAAACAAATAGGACAGCTTTGAATGTTAGATGCCAAGTTCTTGCTTTGGCAGCACATGCACTAAAATTATAATGATATAGAGAAGATCAGCATGGCTCCCATGCAAAGATGACTTACAAATTTGTGAAGCATTCCTTATTTTTGTTTGATATCTAAGATATTTAAACAATTAATGAGTAGCCATTCCCCAATAGATAAATGGTCAAAGGACATGAACAAATAGCTCTCAAAAGAATTACAAAATATTCATAATCACATGAAAGACAGCTCCAAATCTCTAATAATAAGAGGAATGTAAATTAAAAAAAACCCTGAGATCTCACCTTATATCCTTCAAATTGGAAAATACAACAAAAAATGTATTGGTCAACATTGGAGAGATTGTGAAATAGTAAGCACACTAATTCATTATTGGTGGAACTGTGAAATGGTACAACCATTTTGGAAAGCAATTTGAAATTATACATACCTTCTCCTTCTCCTCCTCCTCCTCCTCCTTCTCCTCCTTAGTTACCATAACTAAGATGTCCATTATTGGTTTTATACCTCAAGGAAGTTATCAATAAGGAGAAAGTCCCCATATACAACCAAATATTTATAGCAGCACTTTTTGCAATAGCGAAGAATTGGAAACAAAGTAGTTACGTATCAATAAGACATGGCTAAACAAATTGTGGTACATGAATATAACAGCATATTAATGTGCTGTAAAAATATATATATACAACAAATACAGAGAAGTATGGAAAAAATCTATATGAACTGATGCTGAGTGAAGCAAGCAAAGCCAAGAAAACAATGGAAAGAACTACACACCAAAATAAATAAATAAATAAATGATGAACGTAACAAAATGACAAAGATCAAGCATAACTCAAAGACATATGAGAACACACCTCCAACTTGTACCTTCATGGAGGTGGGAGGTCCATATGTATTACATACACATTGTCTCCCCACCACCTTTTTAACTTCAGTGTACCAATTGATTGTGTTGTTTTTCTTCTTTAAAAAATAATATTTGTCATATGTGAAGGCTTTCTGAGAGGGAAAGAGGAAAGGATACTAAAGGTTACTATGATGCTATTAGAAACAGAAGACATCAATGAAAACATATAAAAGAGAAATTTATATGTTGAAACAAAGAAAAGCAAGTTTTACCTAATATAAGTTCACAGTTTCACGTACAATCTTCTCCCTCTGTTCTAATCTGTGTGTGTGTGTGTGTGTGTGTGTGTGTGTATGAATGCTCATTTTATTTGGTGATTGTTAAGTCCATAATAAAAAAATAAATTTTATTTTGAGAGACAGAATGGTGTTGTAGAGAACAGGCTAGTCTTGGAGTCAGGAGGACCCAGTTTCATGTCCTATTTCTGACTGGTAATAGTTATTCAATCATGAGTAGGTCACTTAACTTTATAAGGTGCACATGAGCTGCCAGTCTACTTTATTGGAATGAGTTTCCATGCAAGGAAAGGATGAAATCATAAATCAATACCACCTGTTATCCCCCATCCCCCCCCAAAAAAAGTTTATTCCATTTGCTGTTTCCATGCTGTCTAGCAATTCATATTGTCTCTAGTACTCAAGACCTGAGCAGCAGCAAGTAGAATTTATTTTGAAGATGAAACACTGCCCCAGCTAGGAGGGGATAGAGAAGGAAGTATTTGTGATAGGGAGGAGAAAAGTGAGGGAAATAGTTTCTCTTTCAGCATCATGAAAAATATATTATTAATATTTTCTGCCTGTTGTCTACTTGGATGATTTATAGGAAATTCCACTGCAAGATAGAGATATAATCTTAGTCTTTAGAAATGAAAGGTATTTTAAAAAATCATCTACTTCAGCCCCTGCATTTGACAAAGAAAAGAAACTGAATCATAGAGAGAGGTAAAGTGAGTTGTCTAAGATCAGAGAAGCATGAAGTAGCAAAATCAGATCTGAATCCATATCCCTGACTCTAGTGCTACTTTTATTCTGTACTCCATGCTTGGCATGGATTTTAGCTGGAAATTATTGATCTTGAATTTCTACACAGCTAAAACTAACCATTTCCCATTTGAATTAGTATTTCTTGAATGAGTGATTAATTTGATTGAGTCTGTGCTATAAATCATTGCACAGGCTGTCCCTCATACTAGGAATACACTTCCACTTCATTTCCACCTCCTAGAATGCCTGGTTTCCTTCAAAACTCAGCTAAGCACCATCTCCTACATGGGACCTTTCTTGAACTCTCAGGTTTCTAGGGCTTCTCCTCCAAATTACTTTTCATTAATTTGGTGTATATTTTACACATATTCCTCAAATGAGATACTGATCATAAAATTCTTAGCTCAATGCTTGGCACATACTAAGCATTTGATAAATGCTTATTTCATCCATCTATCCTTCCATCCATCCATCCATCCATCCATCCAAATACTTATGGGAGTCAGTTTGATAACATAATGGATGGATGGATGGATGGATGGATGGATGGATGGATGAGCTGGACTTGGAGTCAAGAAGATTTGAGATTAAATCATGCCTTAGACACTTTTTAGTTGTGTGACCCTAGACAAGTTACTCAACCTTTTTTGTGCCTCAGTTTCCTCATTTGTTAAATGAAGTAGTTGGATTGGTCTTTAGGGTCACTCTCAGCTCTAAAGCTATGATGTAATGTTCTTTCTCCAATAGAATGTAAACCCCCAAGGGGCAAGAACAAGTTCATTTTTGCCTTTGCAGCTCCTAGGGCATAATAGGTATTAAATAAATGTTTGTTAATTGATTGATTATTGTGTAGCAGTTTTCTTTTAGTAGTTGACAGTTTGAAGGAAAAGATCTGTTGCTAAGGAAAGATTTTCCTAAACTTCCATCCAAAATGAATTCATTGAAATCTCTTTAAAAATAGAAAATATGATTTGCCCCAAACTGTAAGTATTCATTGCCAGTTGTTCAGGAAAGTCCAGATTATTTCCTCAGTCTTTTAACAAAAAAACTAACAATAAAATGAAATCTCCAAACTACATTTCATGTCAACCTGTCTGGCATCATAACCATCATTCTCCCTGATCCATGTTTATTTCCCCTAAAGTAACTGAAGAGTTTAAACTCAGTAAAACAAAGAAAAGGTCAAAATCTTATTTTCCATATCCTGAGTATAATTAGTCTAATATTTTAACAGCTGGCAGCAGCAGTAATTACTTTTTACGATTAACATGGAATCTAAGGAAATATAATTACCCTGATCTATGAACTGAGTAATTAAGGTAAGAGCTCCTACATTTCTAAGACTTTGGATTTTTTTTAACCTTTGAAATTTATTGTGTAGTATAAAAAAATGAAAACAGTTTACTATAAAATGGCACCAAAAATTCTAATCTATGGCCTATGATGTCAAAAGTCAGAATCCAGTTTAGCTGACAATAATGTTGGCATTTATTTGGTGGACTTTTGTTTACATACTCACTGTATGAAATTTTTGGCATTTGACATCAATGTTTGAGCTAAGTAGAAAAAAAGAAAAAACAAGAATTATAATGGTTTAAATAAAATCTACTTTCTTTCCTCCTTCACTCATATCAATCCACTTCCCATACTTGGCATAGATCCTGATAAATGGTTGTGTATGTATGTTCCCTTAAGTTTTAGCAAAGTGTTCCCATTGCAACAACCCTGTAAGGCAGGTACCATGAGCATCAGGAGGGCAACACTTCGGGCATCACTACAGTGACAGAAAGCAAAGGTTCCAAGTTCCACCACATTCTTCCAGTGTTGCTAGGTAAAGCATTAGGGTGATCTACATGGCACTGGCACTAGCTGCCAAAACTATGAAAGGAGTTGAAATAGATTTACTTATCCATCCCAAATATAATGTGAATAATGATAAAGATAATGCTATTGCTGCTGCTGATAAAAGTATTAATAGCAACAATAATTAAAGTATATTTTTATAAAATACTAAGGTTTACAAAGCATCATACACATATTACTTAATTTGCTATAAGGTAGTTGCTATTATTGCCATCTTATAGACAAGGAGACTGAAGCCAAGAGAAGTTAAGTGAAACTCAGGTTTATCCTGACTCCAGGTCCAACATCCTATCACCCCTTCTAGCTGTTCCAGTATGAAGAGGATCTAGGGAAATTCCTGCTGAGGAGGGGAGCAAAAGAATAAAAATACCATACCTGACCTGTGAGACTCTCCTATAGTGGTTAAAAAAGACCATGAGTTTGACTCTTTTTTTTTTTTTGCTTAGGAAATCGGGGTTAAGTGACTTGCCCAGGGTCACACAGCTAGTAAGTGTCAAGAGTCTGAGGCTGGATTTGAACTCATGTACTTCTGACTCCAAGGCCAGAGCTCTATCCACTGTGCCACCTGGCTGCCCCAAGTTTGACTCTTAAGGGAGGTAGAATGACCGTGACCATTGATTGGGTCATGAGCTAAGGGCTTTACAAATATCATATTGTTTGATCTTCATAATAACCCTGAGAGGTAGGTGCAGTTTTTGTCCCCATTTTACAGTTGAGAAAACCAATGCAAACAGAAGTTAAGTACTTGCTCAAAGTCACACAACTAGTAAATGACTGAGGTTAGTTTGGAACCTACATCTTCCTGACTGCAGACCCAGTGATCTATCCCCTGTACCACCTAGCTGCCTTCGTAAGGACCAGAAACATGTATAGTCTGCCATGTGGGAGCAGAGGCAACCAGAGACCTGAAGCACTCGCACTGGGAGTAGCACAGGTACCCAGGGCTCTTAAGTCTCTAGCATTCTGTCCTGAGATGCCAAAGAGGGCCCTAAAATCTAACTCTCTGAACTTCAAAGATCCAAGGAGGTATAACACCAGGAGGTGGAGGTCAGCACAGGAACAAAAGAATTAATGGAGAGAGCAAGCAGAGCAGATCATACCCAAAAGTTCAACAATGGGCAGTGTCTGTTCTTGGCACAAAACCCTGATTTAGAAACTAAAGATGAGAAATGGGTAAATAAGAGAAAATACAAACTAGTATAAAAATTTCTTGGAAATCTCAATCTCCCCCAAAAGGAGGGAATAACTCCATAGCAGCGATAAGTAGAGATCCAAAGGAAAAATTGATTTTCCACAAGGACTACATAAATACCTAGACAAAATGAAACAAAAGGTAAAAAGCAAAATAAAAGCTTTGGAGGAAGTTATTGGAAGGAGAATAAACGGCTAAGAAGAGAAATTGGTAAGTCTTAAGGAAGTAATTAGGTCCCAAAAATTGGAATAGAACAACACAAACCAATGGCTCCTTGAAACTACAAGTTAAAATAGAGTAAAATAAAAGATTGAAAAAAATAGAAGAAAATGTAAGATATCTGGTATAAAAAATAACACTGACCTGGAAAATAGGTCTAGAAAATTTAATAACTATTATACTCCATTAAAACCATGATTAAAAAAAAAAACCTGAACACTATTTCAAGAAATTATAAATGAAAACTGTCTAGCTCTATTAGGATCAAAAGGCAAAGTGAAGGTAAAAAAATATACTACTGACTACCCCCTGAAAGAAACTCCAAAAGGAAATGTCCCTAGAATATCAAAGCTAAAATCTAAAAGTTTCGCATCAAAGAAAAAATATTTCAGGCACATAGAAAAAAAGTTCGAGTACCAAGAATCTTATCTAGATAACATAAAATCCATCAGCCTCTAGGGAAGGGTGGAGAGGGGTGGGGGGGGAGTTATTTATTAAGTGACTGCTCTGTGCCATGCATTATTCTAAGTGTTTTACAAATATTTTCACAGTTTCTCTTTTTTTAATATAATCTCACTTGAGCTTCTGCTGCAAACAAGAGAAAATTTTGCAGAACAATATTCCAGAAGTCAAAATATGTAGGCATTTAACACAAAATAACTTAGCTATCAAAGATGAGCATAATTATATATGGAAAAAAAGGGTCTTTAGTGAGAGGAGTTTCAAACATTTCTGATGAAAAGACCAGAGTTAAATAGGAACTTCCGAATACAAAAACAGGACTCAAGAGATATTTAGAAAGGTACATTATTTGAGCAGTTCTAAGAGCCTTTATGAAAATGTAGTGCTAACATTCCACCAGAGGTAAGAAACAAGCATCTCATCAAAACTTTCATGTCTTCATGCTTCTTAAGGGAGTATAACAAGAATATATATATATATACATATTCATATATATATGAAAGTATATATATGAAAAATGGAGGATTTATGGTTGGGTTGGTTCTATTCTGAGAGTTTTGAGAGGCCAAAGAGTAGGGAGAGTAAAAGGAATGCACTGGTATAGAAAGGAGGGAGAAAGAGGTGGAACTTGCTACTTCCCACAATCGGAGCAAGTTAAAAGAAGAACATATAAACATAGAGGAAGGTATAACGGGAATAGGTTTCAATTGAGTCCCTCTTTTCAGAAACAGAAAGGTTGAACACATACATACAGTTTGCTGTAGAAATATATTCAACTCACAGAGGAAGCAAGCAAGGATATGAGGAAAGATAATACTGGGGAAGAGAGATCACAAACAAAACAAGCTTTCTGATCCTTAAGTGAGGGTGGGGAGGAGGTTTAAAGAGAAGAAGAAAAGAACTAGAATCTAAAGTGATGTCTGTCAACTAGAGAATTGCTGAACAAATCGTGGCATATGAATGAAATAAATATCATTGCATTTTAAGAAATTACAAAAGGGAGGGATGATTTCAGAGAATCCTAGTTAATATAAAGTGATGCAGAGTGAAATAAACAGATCCAGAAGAACAATGATAGAAAGACAACAACATCATAAAGAAAAACAACTTTGAAAGATTTAAGAACACTTATCAATGCAATGATCACCCATGTCTCCAGAGGACCTATGGTGAAGCAGATTATTTACCTCCTGACAGAAAAAGAAACATTTTTGAACATGGCCATGGTATGGATTCATTTTGCTTGACTGTACTTAGTTGTTAAAAATTATTTTTTCCCCTTTCATTTTTTAAGTTCGGGGGGTTTGAAGGAAGCATGGCAGCAAAACTGATGCCAAGAAAAAGAGGGTCATCGAATCTTTTTTAAATGCATAGGAAGGAATAGAAGGAAGTTTAGATGAAGCACAGAGAAGTAGAAGAGTTTTGAAAGCACTATGAGGAATTTACTATACTTTAAAAAATCAAGTGGTATAAAATAGAAATTCATGGTTTCATATCCAATCTTTTTTTGTGTGCTTATTCTATTCTGTATGTTTGAAATGCTTTCTTTTTTTGATGTTTAAATTTCAAATAAAAATAGAATTATAAAGGGAAGTCAGTAATAGGGATGAGAGTGGGTACAAAATATTTCTTGCTCCTAGTGGTAACAAACATTCAAATTCCTGATTTTTAAAGGTTCAATTATAGTTGTGAAATGAAATATGAAGAAAACATGTCCAAATACTATTTTAATCACACGGAGTGATTTTAGTTCAATAAGTCCTATAGATCTATCACTTAAAAATGTTTGTAATTTGGTCATCTCGAATACACACAATTGTAAAATCCTGGGGGAAACTTCTTGGTAACAAAGAAAAAACGAAAAGGAGACTGGATCCAGGAAAGATTTTATTTATTACTTTTGAATTACACCATAATTAATAGATAAGACAGAATTTCATTTGTATTTTAGCTAGACATTTTAATTAGCTAGAAATGAGAAAGTAAGAATTACTAATTGGTATAATTAGGCAGGGAATCATTAATTCAGTTAAAAAGGCACAAACATCATTAACCAAATTATACAAAAAAAACTAAACTCAAATCACCAGATGACACAAGAATTATACTGTGATGTCAAAGTCCATTGTTAGAATGACTTTTTCTTAAGAAACCTGAATTAAAATAATCATATGTATTCTGAAAAAATAATATCCAATTCCTGAGGAGATATATTATAGTTTTGACTAATCTGTTCCATTAAATCATTTACCATCTTCCTTAGATATTCAGACTTCATTAAATTTCTGAAGAAAGACAAAAATTTGTGTCCTGGGAAAGAAAAAAAGAGGTTATTGGTCAAAATGTAAAAGTCACATATCTCTTAAAATGTACATTTTAAATTAAATCGATTTTAGTACCAAGACATTAAATGTTCAGATTCTCTGCTCTGATATTGAAACTAAGTTACTTTTTTTTTCTTGGTAAGCCAATCTCTAAAACTTTCTGGAAGGCTATTCTTTCAATGAAGAAATACTGAGTATTCATTATGGAAAAGAAATGGAAAAGCACATAGGAGATGTGAGAATACTGCAACATATAATGAATGAAGGACTTTGAAGGATAGGATAGGATCTGTTATTTCCCCACAACAGAGGTTAGTTTTCCCTAAAAGGGAAAAAAAACTGGGCTTGTAACATGATTAACCTTTGCCTCTCTTGGCACAGCTGCCACATCACCTAAAGGGTATAAATTGTCCCACTCGCTATATCCATAGTTCTCTTATTGCTTGGTGGATGTATGAAGATGATGTGAGTCACAATATCCCATCCTGCTGACAAAACACATTTCTATAAGAGAACGAAAGGAACTGTGTCAGGAGAAGCCAAGTACCACTATATTCTTATTTCATATCCTTGCCATGTTAGGACAAAACAAATTTTCTTTTGCTAACCATTCAATTACTTGCAAGTTTTAAGTCTCATTGAATCTGAATTAACAGAGTACTGCTGTTAGGCCCACCCTAAACAAAAAGTCAACAAAGAGTAAAATAAAAATGTTATTCAGGAAAGAAAATGGACTAGTCAAGTGGCAAGGGTGAGGGATATCAGGTAGGCAGCCAGAGTGCCTTGTTGATATCATTGTTATGTCAGGAGAAAATAAGGAAGGCCTCTAGCCCATTCAGTAGATACCCTCTATTAAACTTTTGAGAAGACTTAGGTAAGAGTCAAAAAGAATGTGTGGATTTTGATCAACAGTAAAGAGAACTTACAAACTGATAAGACTACAGATCTATTTGAGTACATAATTTTGTCTATGACATTTTCCCAAGTGCTAAGGATGACAAAAAGATGAATAACATACGGGCTCTGTCATTAAGAATCTTATTCTCTAGTTGAGGAATAAGACAAATGCACAAAATAGTGGTGGAGGAATACTGGGAGTCAGGAGGCCTAGCAAATTTATTACATAAGAAGTTGAGTAATCACCTTCTGTCCATCCATAGGTTAGGCTATCAGGGGTGGGGAACCTGCAGCCTTGAGGCCACGTGTGGCCCTCTGGTTCCTCAAGTGTAGCCCTTTGACTGAATCCAAAATTCAGTTTCCCCACCTCTGTAGCCTTGAGGCCACATGTGGCCCTCTAGGTCCTCAAGTGCAGTCCTTTGACTGAATCCAAATTTCATTTGTTCTGTGAAGTTTGGATTAATTCAAAGGGCCAAACTTGAGAACCCAGAGGGCCACATGTGGCCTTGAGGCTTCAGGTTCCCCACTCTGGCACCACTAAGGGATATTTTAGGTCAGAGAGTCTATAAATTCCTCAACAAATATGGCACATATTATGAATGAAGACAAAAAATTTAGTAATTTAAAATTGGCCTCCCTCTCTAGGAGCCTACAGTTTATCCAAACATAGATAATCATAATGCTAAAAATCACATTATTGGCATTTACTATATCACTAACCATCTTTGTGATTTTGTGTAATTAATACATTTTTTCCAATTATTTAGGTCTATCTTTATTCATGTAAACAGTGGTTTGTACTTGTACTCATACAGTTATTTTTTCTATCTTATTAGGTAGACTCCAAAGTATTTTACACATTCTGTAGTTATTTTAAGTGGAATTTCTCTTTTTATCTCTTCCTGATGGGGTTTATTGATATAATATAGAAATGCTCATGATTTGTGTGGATTTATTTTAATCCTGGAAGTGTGTTGAAGCTATTGTTTCAATTAATTTTTAGTTGATTGTGTATCATATCATCTATAAAAAGTGACTATTTTGCTTCTTCTTTACCTCTGCTTATTCACTTAATTTTTTTTCTTGTTTTATTGCTAAAGATTGTATTTCTAGTACCGTGTAAAATAGAAATGGTGAAAATGGACATCCCTGTTTCATTCATGATTTTATTGTAAGTGATTCTAGTTTATTTTCATTACATATAATGGTAACTCTTGGTGTCAGATATATTCTATTTATCATTTTAAGGAAAGGACCATTTATTCCTTATGCTTTCTAGTGTTTAACAGTAATGAATGTTTATTTTGTTATTAATATGGTTAATTAAATGTATATTTTTCCCCTGATAAAAGTCCAGCCTGACTGTAGTATATATTCTTTGTGATATGTTGTTTTGGCTTCTTTTCTAAAGTAAGTATCCTAGCATTCAAACAACCCAGCTATTGGGGTAAATACTCACTATTTGACAAATAGTGAAATTTGGACAGAAATATGGGGAAAAAATTAGATTTAGTTTAGAATCTCAAACTTTATACCAAGATAAGATCCAAAAGAATATATGACCTGAATATAAAATGTCACATCATAAAGAAATTAGACAAATATGGAAAAAATACCTATCAAATCTATGGATAGAAGAGAAGTTCATAACCAAATATAGGATAGAGGGGATCATAGAAGATAAAATGGATTATTTTGATTACACAAAATTAAAAAAGTTTTTGCATAATTTAATAAAGTTATGATTAAAAGGGAAATAACAGGAAAAAATCTTTGCATTGTTTTTCTGATAAAGGTATCATTTCTATATATGTAAGAAATTGATTTAAATCTATAAAAATAGAAGTCATTCCCCAATTGTTAAATGTTCTAAAAGTATGAACAGACAGTTCTCAATGGAAGAAATCCAGACTATCTGTAGTTACACGGAAAAATACTCCAGATTACTACTGCTTAGAGAAATAAAGATTAAGGAGATTCTGAGATTCTACCTCACACCTATTAGATTAACAAACATGGTAAAAAGGAAATTTAGAAATTTTGGAGAGGCTGTTGGAAAATAGGATCATTGATGCACTGTAGGTTGATCTGTGAATGGATATTATGGAAAGCAATTTAGAATTATACATAAAACATTACTAAATGATGCATGCCCTTTGACCCAAATATACCATTGCTAGCTCTATCTGCCCAAAAGATCAAAGAAATAGATAAAGTCCTATATACAGCAAAGTGATATGGTAAAGTGATTCCTGGACTTGGAATCAGGAAGACCTAAGTACAAAACTAACCTCAGAAACTATTTGGGCAAGTCACTTAACCGCTGTCTGTCTCAGTTTCCTTATATGTAAATGGAAATAATAATAGCCTCAGACACTTACTAGCTATATGATCCTGAGCAAATCACTTAACCTCTCTTTGCTTCAAGTTTCCTCAACTGTAAAACAGGGATAATAACAGCACATCCCTTAAAGGGTTGTTGTGAGATTCACATGAGATATTTGTAAAATGCTTAGAATAATGCCTGGCACATAGTGGGTACTATATAAATGCTAAGTTAGTGGAATCAGAAGAATAAATTATACTATAACATCAATGTTACAAAAATAAACAATTTTGATGACTTCTACAAACTGATGAAAAATGAAATTAACAGAACAGGAAGAATGATTTATACAATAATAACACTATAAGACAAACAACTTTGAAAGATCTAGAAACAATGATCAATACAATGACCATCCATAATTCCAGAGGACCAATGATAAAATGTTATCTACCTCCTAACAAAGAGTTGATAGACTTAGGATACAGAATCTCTCTCTCTCTCTCTCTCTCTCTCTCTCTCTCTCTCTCTCACACACACACACACACACACACACACACACACACACACACACTTTTATACAATCAATTAAGGAATTTATTTTACTTGAGTATTTATATTTGTTATAAGGGATTTTTTTTCTTTTCTCTTTTTTTAATGGGATGGGAGGTGGGAGGGAGAAAAAATGTATTTCTGCTCATTAAAAAATTGGTTTTCTTTTCTGATCACCTTAAGAGCATAAAAAGACTTGCTCATGCAGACTCAGGGCATACTTAGCAGATGTACCAAGGCTACAAATTACTACTTCATGCCTTGCTAGCCAGATTGTGGTCCTCATCTATCAGAGTTAAATGCTGTGTCCTTGTCAAGCATCCTTCTTATGCTGTGGCTAAGTAAACCTACTTTTGTTAACCACTGAACACTTAGAGTGTCTCATTTCATTCCACTATTGGTTATAAATTATGAAGAGACCAGTATATCAGGCCTAGCCTATGACATTAAACTTTATTCAGGAGGCAATTGGGAGCCACTGAAGAATTTTTTTTTGGAGGGGGCCAGGCAATGGGGTTAAGTGACTTGCCCAGGGTCACACAACTAGTAAGTGTTATGTGTCTGAGGTAGATTTGAACTCAGGTCCTCCTGACTCCAAGGCCATCTCTCTATCCACTGCACCACCTAGCTGCCCCAGAATTTTTTTTTAGAAGAGTAGAGAGGTGGTTAGCTATATGCATAAAAAAGTTATTTAGGTAGCCATACTAATCAGAGGGTTAATTGAGGGAGTGCCATTAGTTGGTGGTTACTAGTTTAATTGGAAGATATATAAAAGGCTATTTTAATATTCTAGGTAGGTGCCAATGAAGGCTATCATTAATATCCAATTATTTTGGAGCTCATTTAACAGTTTTAAATATTACAGGCCTCCAAAGTGAATTTAAAATCAATTCTTGACACTTGACTTTGTAGATTACCCATATCAAAATTTAAATTTCAAGCTAGCTTGCTCTTAGTTCCCAGTATGCATCTAACTTGCATATTTCTTTTCTTTCCTCCCCCACAGTACCCTCCTCCCAACCATGGGTGATATATATATGTATGTATGTATGTATATATGTATGTGTGTGTGTGTGTGTGTGTGTGTGTGTGTAGCAGTCATATATCAGACAAATACAGTTGAGGAAACTTAGGCAGACTTCCCTAAGGTCACGCAGCCAGTAAACGTCTGAGGCTTGGTTTGAATGCAGGTCTTCCTGACCCTAGGCCGAGTGTTTTATCCACTGGGTCACCTCCCTTTCTTTATCCATAACATTCTAAATACTATCTTTCAACAAATCTCATTAGGAATGCTTAAGTTTTTGATGTGGGTTGTCTTTGCTCTCCTGATATGGCTACTGATTTACTATAAAAACATTCATTTAGAATAGGTCTTGCTGTTAAATTGCAAAACAAAAACAAAACTAAAAAGAGTAGGAAAGACTGATCAATCCTCTTTTTCATCTTAAGAAAATTTTTGTAGACCCAGTATAGAACAAATTTTAAGTTATAGCATTTCCTTTCCTGTAGGCCTTTAAAATAGGACTGATTTGTCTGTCTATAGCTTCTGTCTATAACTAATAGAATATCATAGAATCAGAGATAGAAGTTATTTTGTATTACAGATATGACAGCTCAGGCTCAGAGAGATTAATTGACTTGTCCAAGGTCCCATAGTTTATAAGGGAGAAGAGCCAAGAGTTGAAACCAGATGCTCTGATTCCAAATCTCATTCTCTTGCCCTTGTACCATGTTGATTCTCCATGCTCCCTACAAGTATGAACCTCATACTTCAATAATTGAAAATATCTGTGATTTTAATGGTGTGGGCACTTCCTTGATCTCTAGGGATCACCTTCACATGCTGACCCCCGTGATTTAGTAGATAGCCTATGTTAGTTGTTAAGACAAGAAACACGAACATTTGCTAATCAACCTATTGGTAGTTTCAGGCCCATACCTGAAACCTTTCCAGCTTGTTAGAACCTTGCTAGTCAGTCTTGCTAGTCAAGACCACTGGCATAGCCTTGGACATTCTGCTGTCATTTTCAAGCCATGAGAAATCAAAGTGGGACTTAAGTAGAGGAACACTTGATAAAATAAACACGGACACTTCAACTACTTACCTGAATCATCATCTATTTTGTGTATAAGATTAATCAAAAACAAGATTCTATTCTGGGAATCAGTGAAATCCTTAATGAAGAGGGGATGGTCACCAGACTTGAGCAGTCTTGGGGGCAGATACTTCTGGAATTTAGCTGTTTTCTTCAAAGTTGTTTCAAAGTTGATTGTTGCAATATAATCCACAGTATTTGACCAACTTTTTGCAAAATCTAACTCTGGTTTGGAGAAATATAGCTTTCTAAAAGAAAAACATTAAAAAGTTAACATTTAGAGTTAGAGATTTAAATATCTATCTTCTCTTATTTTCCAAAAGTATGATTTATTTTTCCTCTCATTATACTAACTACTTATTGTGATTTCAGTTCTCCCTCTTCTTCAATGTTATAGAGAAAGTATTTCTGACTGTTAGCCGCTACAGTAACATTTCTGCCAACAGCCTTCTCCCCAGGAAATTCACATTACCATAACTGGTACAAACCTATGATAACCAGGTGAAATACAAATTCATGCTATTCTTTGTAACCTTACCCGGGTCATCATCTTAACAATTAATGTTTCTTATTAATTTATTGATTTCTAAGCACACTCATCATGATAACTTTCTTGAATCTGCTGAAGCCCCAGATTCCACCCTCAGCCTCAGTTTACTCTTAGCACATTTTCTTTCTTACTGATGTAGCCCCCTTTGCTCAAGGAGTTTAAGGCAATAAATCATAAACTCCCTCATTTTCCAACCTTAAAATTTTCCCATTATCTTTATTCATTCTCTCATATTTATTTTCTCATGAAAAGAGGCGTCCTTAAAGGCTTTCTCTGTCCTAGATTCCATTTCCACCTACCTTCTCCAGTAACTTGCAACCTTATTAACTTCCCAAGTCCAGCATCATCAGTTTCTGCCTAGCTACTGAGTATGTCCCTATTAATTCAAATATGAGAAGATTACTCCTATTATCAGAGGCATCCTAGTGCACAGGACAGAGTAGCAGATGGAGATTCAAAAAGACCTGGGTTGAAATCTGACCTCTAACACATACTGACTGACTGTGTGACTCTGGGTCAGTCACTTAAGCTCTAGTTGTCCCAGGCAACTCACTTTAAGTTGCAAACAGCCAAACTGCATTTGTAGAGGGAATTTCCCATATCAAGGAAATTTCAGGTCTGGTCTTTTAAAAAATCCTATTTTAAGAGTAAACTGATACTCATGGGCAGAGTAATCCTAGCCAGACAGCATACATTTGAAAAGTAGTTTGCTCAAAGAAGTCTGTGTTAGTATTCTTCAAAAGCCAACTTTATCCCATGACATTCCTGTGTTTTCTGAACTGAGTCAGCATGATGAAAGAGCACTGAACTTGGAATCACCGGACCGAGTTTGAATCCCGTTTTGCCACTTACTACCAGTATGACCTTAGGCAAGTCACAACCTCTCCTGGCCTTAATTTCCTCCTCTTTAAAGTAGTAAGATTGGACCAGCTGACCTCAAAGATCCTTTATAGATCTAGAGTTATAGGCCTAATTTTAATATACTGTTTGATGCTTTATAAATGCCTCTTACACATACTCCCTCTCCTTAAAGTCATAGACAAATTGCTTGTTAAAGGCTATGGCATGGACTTGGTGACTTGGGCATAACCGATATGCTTCATTCATCCATTTAGTACTAAATACACATGAATGTAGACCAAAAAGGAGCCATTGGATTGGTCTATTATGAGGTCTTTTGGAAACCAGATTGCAAGGGATTAAGGAAGTCATGTGAGGTAGCAGAATCAGGAGAAGCTTGGCAATTCTCTTAACCTTTCTGAATTTTAATGTCCCTATTTTTAAAATAAGGCCAAAAATACTGTATAACATATATGTATATAATATTATATTTACTGAAGTATAGTATACTGAAACATAGTGGATAAAGAGCTAGCCCAAAGCCAGGAAGATCTAGGCTTAAGTCCTAACTCTTACACATTCTGGCCATGTGACCCTAGACAAATCTTTAAGACTATAAATTGCAGAGCAGGTGCTGACCCACATTAGTAGAGGGCATTTTCTCATCAAGTAGTTCACTATACAAATGAAATAATGATTCTAATCTCTATCCTCATCCTATATTACTGCAGATATGAAAATTGAAGGTCAGAGAAGTTAAGTGAATTACATGTGGCCACATAGCTAGTAATATATATTTTTTTTGGCAAGGCAATGGGGTGAAGTGAATTGCCCAGGGTCGCACAGCTAGTAAGTGTCAAGTGTCTGAGGCCGGATTTGAACTCAGTTCTTCCTTAATCCAGGGCTGGTGCTCTATCCATTGCGCCATCTAGCTGCCCCCACATAGCTAGTAATATAGGAGGCAATATTTGAACCTAGGTCTTTTCTGACTTTAAACCCAGCACATTTTCTGCTATTACTCCTCAATGCCTCTTCATTCTGCACAAATCTTGTCCATATCCTGCCATAAAATCTCTTCAAAGGATTCCCCAAAATGCGCTTAGATCTTATCAAGGAGGCTCAGTGGTATTCTGAGTTTTGATTCAATCAACACAAAATCTTCTGCAAACAAAAGTATGTAGAGGTATAGATCATCTCTTTTCCATTTGGATTTGGCTCCAGACATCTTGTTTATGTCTTCCCTTATATTGATTATCAGAATGTCTTTGAACAAAGTTACTTCTCTTGTCACATCTATTGAGGTGTCACAAGATTTTATGATATAAATTAGAAGCATTTTGTTGGAAGAAATCCCTCTAGGTTGAATTTTGCCTTATTGAGTAAAACTTTTAAGAAGATCAATGGAAAATGCAGCTAGACCTTGTATTCTCTGCAAGTTTTGACCAATTTTATGACTATATAGCTATACATGATTGTAGATAATTATTTTCACAAGCTTGTCAGTTCTTCTCTCAAATTTTTGTCAAGATCAGTCTTAATAAGTCAATAAATGTGTATCATAAAGATTTCACAGAAATAGAAAGTAGGTACATGAGTTAATTTTTTTTGTCTGATGGTAATACCATCCACACTACTTTTCCAATCATTCAGATCTTTCCTTCTTTCAGATACATGGAGAGTTGACCTCTCCATGCTTTCAGAATTATATTACCTCCAGTAGAGATTTCTTCTATGTCTACCTGGTCTGGTCCACCTGCATCACCATCTTTATCTCCTTTACTATGAAGGTCACTTCCTCACATAGACTATCAGGTATTAAGATGTCAGAGTCTAAATCTGGTGTTTCACTTAGTGATGTTATTTTGTTATATAAATGCTAACAAATGTTGAAGCATTAATAAATGCATGGAAGGAATTCTAGAATAATAAAATAGGATAAGATTGAAACTTTGCTTAGGCATCAGATGTAAAGCAAGGCCCTCAGTAAAAAAGGATGAATTATTACCTATTGTCAAAAATGCTTCTGGCCACTTCAAGGCTTGCTATGTGTGCATCCCATAAGTATTTCAGTAAGTCATCCAGGCTTTTAGAAGTTTCCCTTGCTTGCTAAGCCAAGAAGGAAAAACGATTTTAATAGATAGGCAAAAATGAAAAAGCAAGAAAGATTATGGGGGCATAGTATTTAAAATGAGAGGAGAACTTAGTTTCTAGAGTAGATGCATCTGAAAGAAATTAACTAGGAACATTTTCCAAAGTCCAAGTTCCAACATTTTCGTATTTCTAGAGGTAGCTAGATGGCACTGTAGACAGAGATATGGGCATGGAAATGGGGGGAAAAAACCTGAAGTCAAATCTGGCACTTGCTAGCTGTGTGACCTTGGGGAAGTCACTTAAGTTCTGTTTGCTACAGTTTGCTCAACTGTAAAATGGATATAATAATAGCACCTACCTTATAGGGCATTTGTGAGAATTTAATGAGATAATATTTATAAAGCACTTAGCACAGTGCCTGGCATATATAATGCCATGGAGCTTAATTAATTCGTATTTCCTTGTCTTCCTTTTTCCTCAAATTGTCCAGGATTAAATCACAATTTAAAAAATTACTAAGCTTTGAACTTTCTTTAAAAAATTCATGAGGATTAAAATAGAAAGGAACAAATAATATCATTTTAATCACATCAAAATCCAAAGAAGTGGGCTAGGCATCTAGAAGTATAAGCATATTATTTCATTATCAAATATAAGTCATGTCTACCTTCTACCCTGATACTCTTCTTGTGGACATTTCATGACTGATTTAGATTGCCACATGTTGATTTAGCCAGTTACTGTTCATTAAAGTAACTGGAATAAGCAGCTCCACTATGCTAGGAAAGATTCCCTGATCCTACATGTCAACAATTGTCCCCTAAGTTTACCAGAATATTGAGTTAACCAGAATATTTCATTACTCAGCCACAGTTGTTAGTTAAAATATGCATTTAATGCAGTTAGGGGTAAAGATCATGATAGTTGTCCAGTTTCTCAGATGTAGAAGAGAAAGATACTAGGAATTGAAGATGGCTGTTTAGTTGTTCAAAAGTCCAATCAAAGCATGTACCATTATAGTATTACTGGGGAAAAAAGGGGTTCTGTACTCCTTTATAAAGGTGCCATTCTATTCCTGTGGAATTTGAAAGCAGCAAGTAAAATATCCCCAGTGCAAGAAAGAGATAGGATACCTTACTCCAAGAATAGCATAAATATTTTTAAACCTGAAAAAATGTATTCCATTTTATCATAGCATCTGGGAAGAATGAACGGCAAGCAGTAACATTATAACAGAAATACATCTGGTCCTTTGGTGGTGGTGAAAGTTTCACTTGGTCTGACGAGATCCCTAATACTCCAGCCTCAACTGCACCAAAGAAGGGTAGTGCACTTAGATAGTAATTCATGCCTGTGGAAATAATGGTGGCTGTTATTAGAACTGATATACATTGCTATTGATACAAGATCAAAGAGTTAACCATATAGTGAAGGTGATTATAGATGGCTCAAGCAAACACAGTTGTGCAGTAGTGAAGTTGTATGCTAATTTATTAGATCATGATTAATAATAAAACTTAGTGCTAATGATAAAATATTTCAAACCAGGAAACTGACAACAGCCAAATTTTAATTTCTGAAACAAAGGGGTTAGGTTATTAAATTAAAATCTATAGAATTCCAGCACTGTATTTCTAGTTGTTTATGTTTCCACTTGGAACTGCCCTACTACCAAAAAGACCTATGAAAATAATATGTACTATACTCCCCTCTTCAAAAATTTCTCTTTCTTACAGACATCCCACTGCATTCCTAACCTTAAAAGGATTAAATCTTGGGGTCATTTCTGACTAACTTCACTTAATCTCCCCTCAGTTTGATCCTTAACCAAGTCCTACTGATTCTTTCTCTGCAATATTTATTGGTCTCAACTTTTCTTCTTCATTCCTAGAGTGACTAGTCTATTCCAAGCCTTAACCATTTTATGCCTAGAGCATCACCATGATTAGCATCTGAAAAACTGGAACCTGAAGCAACAACTTCAAAGTCTCCCTGACTGACCCTTTTGGACACAAGACTGAATGCCAAAAAAGGACAGAGTCTCAAAACCCAGGCCTGATACAGAACTAAGCATGTTGCATGTATGTATGTTCCACGTATGTACGTATGTTCCATGTTTGAGATATCTTTTGGATATACCTCATCCCCATTTATCTTAGAGATGTAAATAAAACACTGAGCTGATATGATATTTGAAGTCAATCTGGTGTCTGGGGAACCAGACCTCTGGATCAAATTTCTATTTTCGACTACCTGGTATTTGGAGAAGAACAGTGTTACCCTACATCATCATCAAAGGTCTCCATAAGAGTGAGGCCTCAAACTATTCTTTCTCAGTTTTATGGTTAGCAAATTTGTATCTCCTGCTCCCCTAAACCTAATGATTCAAAATTTCTGCCAGTTAAGGTAAATATCCCCTTACCCTGTTACTTCAGCATTCTCATACCTATCCAGCTCAATTTAATAGCTCCCCAGGTCCTTTGTTTTCTGCCACCACTCTCTTTTGTACTCTTTGGAATCCTTGCTCGGTCTTTAAGAAATAGACTTTTAATCTTCAATTTCTTTTCATACTCTTTCTACCTTGTGCTCACAGAAACGTGGGTCTCCTAGAAAGACATCCTCTCCAGTGCTGGTTGCCCTTTCTTGTCCCTAAACAGATTAGGCCAGGAGCAAGAGTGACTATCCCCTTTGTTCCCCACCAGTTCTTACAAATCACTCTTCTGGCATCATATCTATGCAGCTTCTCTTCATTTGAGGTTCAATTCTCTCATCTAGATAATTTAATCCTCATTGCTATGAACTACTGGCCTTTGGGGCACTTTCCTTCCTTTCTTAAGGAATTTAGCATTTGGTTCATAAACTCTAACTGCAGACTTGAGTACATATGCACACACATTATCCCTTTCAACATCCCCGATTCCCAAATTATTATCCTTTTCAATTCTCATGACATATAGCTTTATTCTAACCACAGCAACTCACAAGAAACATCCTATCTTAGATTTCATCATTCATAATTGAAGCACTTCCAAGATTATGAGCTCTACAATTTCTTTTTTTAAGTTAAATTTTTTTTAATTACCATAGATCTATTTCCTCTCTTTCCCGTCACCCACCACATTGAGGACAAAAGAAAAAAAAAGGAAAATAAATTCTTTGTGAAAAATATACTTAGTCAAGGAAAACAATTTTTTTCACTGATCCCCTGTCCTTTCATATCTTTCTCTATTTCACTCTTCTTAACATTATTCTCTATCTTAACCATCACCCCTACTCTAGTCTCACTTTTCTTTTCTTTTTTTTTTTAAGGCAATGGGGATTAAGTGACTTGCCCAGGGTCACACAGCTAGTGTCAAGTATTTGGTCTGAGGTGGGATTTCAACTCAGGTCTTCCTGACTTCAGGACTGGTGCTCTATCCACTGCACCACCTAGCTGCCCCTTAGTCTCACTTATCTCACTTAACAGTCTTTAACCTGTTACTATCCATTTTAATTATATTGTTCTCTTGCCTTCAATCCCTTGCCCCCTTGTCCTACCTCTAGGGTTCTCATCTACCAATCGAAGTTATACCAAAATCTGCCTTTTTCTATATACTTCTAAATTGTTGAATTGAACAAAGTCACATCACTGTGCTTACTGGGCCTATGAAAACTGAACTTTATCCAATCTCAACTATGAAGTCACTGTTACCAAGCAAAATCATACTTCACAGAAAATATTGAGGCCATTCACCATAAGCTACCTCTTTTTCTCTCTTCCTCTTATCACTCAGATATCTTTGGCCACTATCTCCTCCTTCACCCATCTCACATGAAGATGTGGCCTTACTCCTTACCAAGGCTAACCCCTTTATCTGCACAAGTGATCCTATTCCATCCCATCTGCTCCAACAGATTATTCCCTCTGTCATCCCCACTCTATCACTTATTTTCAAACTCTCCTTGTCTTCTGGCTCCTTCCCTACTACCAGAAAACATGTTCTTGTCTCTCCTATTCTCAAAAAGTTCTCACTTGATCCTTCCATCCCTGATAATGATCGTCCTATATATCCTCTGCCTCCTATGCTGATGTTTCTAAAATCTATTATCTTGGTCTGATCTCCAACCTCATATCTCCCAGTGCCTTTCAGATGTCAGTGTAGGTATCATCCTTGACTCTTCCTCTTTACCATTCCTCCCCTCCCGTGTCTAATCTGTTGCTAAGATCTGCCTGTTTCACCTTTGGAACCTCTCTCAAATATGGCTTCTTCTGTCCTCTGACATTGCCCTCCTCTGGTACAGGTACAGCTCAGCAGCTCACTTGGACAATTGAATGACCCTGCTTGTTAATTGAGGCAGATGCCTGTCTTAAGTGTCTCCCCACTACAATCCATCCTCCATTCAGTCACCAAAATTATTTTCCTAAAGCAGAAGTCCAACCATGCCATCCCCCTACTCCATACATTCCGGTGACTGCTTATCACCCTCAGGATCAAATACAAAATTCTCTGTTTGGCACTCAAAACCCTTTGTAACCTAACCCCTTCCTACCTTTCCAGTCTTTTTACACCTCATTCCCCAACACATACTCTTTGATCCAGTGACATTGACTTCCTGGTCATTCCACAAACAAGACACTCCATCTCTCAGCTCTTGGCATTTTCTCTGGCTCTCATCAGTGCCTGAAATGCTCTCCCTCCTCAGCTCCACTGACTGGCTTCCCTGCCTTCTTTTAAGTCCTAATTCAAATCTCATCTTCTACAGGAAACCTTTCTCAAACTTTATTAATCCTAGTAGTTTCCTTCTGTTATTTTTTTCTTATTTATCCTATGTATGCCTTGTTTGTACATATGTGTTTACATATTGTTTCCCCATTAGACTGTAAGCTCCTTGAAAGAAGGAACTATTCTTTGCCTCTTTTTGTATCTCCAGTACATACTGCCTAGTATGCAGTAGGTGCTTAATAAATGTTTATTGCCTATTTTTCCCTAATCAATTATCTATTTTAATTCCTAAAGCAATTGTTCCAGACCTTCTCTTCTTTGGTCAAGCCCCCCGGTACCTCCCATTCTATTGGTGGGAAAATTGAGGCTTTAGTCTTCAAGGTCTTTCATCTCCTCTACAGATAAAGGATAGGGACCAGACTTGTAATTTCAATGAAATAAGGAATTTCCAAATGAGGAAACTCTCTACAGTACAGGTCTTAAAGAGTTGCCTAGAACACTGAGAGTTTAAGTGATTTGCTTAGGTTCATATAACAAAGATGTATAGTATGTCTTCCTGAATTCTAAGCTAGCTTTCTATTCATTATGCCATGCTGCTTCATCTCCACTAGAATAGGCCTCAAAACTCCACTTTATCTTTACTTATCCTTTAGTCTTTAACACTTGTCTCTAAGGAAAACATGGACTATTTTTTTTTCTTTGCAAGGTCAACTCCTCTACCTGTGCCCTGGATCTCATCACCTCCTATGTCCAACAACATTAAATCTTATGTTCCCTGTCCCATCCCTACCCTCAATATTGAAACTCTCTTTACTAGATCCTTCCCTGCTGCCTACCAACTCATCTCCCCTATTATTCACTTGACTTTTTCCATGCCCTCAAACTATGATTCTATATTTCTCTTCCTCTTTACTATTAAATTCCTTCAAATAATATATATCCTATATTCATTGCCTTCACTTCTTCCTTACCACTCTTTAACTCCTCTGACTCCTGAATTCTATTGGAACTAGTTTTTTTTTAATGATTACTAGTAATTTCATGATTTCCAAAATCATATGCCTCTTTTTTCACTCCTTATGCTATTTGATATTTGTTTAGTTTTTTGGCACTATGTTTTTGGAATGTACATGTTCCTCTCCTTCTTCCTTTCTGCCTTTCATAATCCTTATCTTTCTTCAAGGTGCCATTTTTCTTAAAGAAAGATATATTTCTAAGGTGAAAGAGCCATCTCCTCCCTTGTTTCCCCCAGTTGAAAACATTTTCTCCTTCATCAAAATTCCCTAGGACACTTGCCTCACTTTCTCTTTTCCCCTCATTACCTTATGTTACATTGATCTGTGTACTTGTTACATCCTATGTGCGCATCCCTAGACCATAGAATGTAAGCTTCTTGAGGTCAGGGATTGTTATATTGCTTCTTTTCAAAATCCTAAATATTGCTTCTTTTCAACCATTAAAGCTGTGCCTTGTACATAGTAGGTACTTAATATGAAATAATGTATGTAAAATTCTTTGCTAACCTTAAAGAAATATATATGTATCCTATTATTATTAGTAAATATTTGTTGAATAGCTTTAAATTGAAAAGCCAAAGTGATCTCCTTCAGGTTATGCACTTCCCCTCTCCCACTCCATTTACAATCCAGTGGAGCTTTGAAATATGTCATGCTGTCCTTAGAAGTTTTTTGGGCCAACTGGTCAAGAAAAAGAGGAGAAATTCCCAAGTTAGAAAATTTCAGTTGTGTTCATTGTCACTGTCGTAGCTGAGAATGTGGTGTGATGGCCACAAGATGGTGCTGCAATATAGTCTTATGTGCCCACAAAAGAAATTTTTTTTCTTAAATGGTAACTTTTTGGCTACTTAGATTCTAGAGGGAATTGGTACTTTTTTAAAGGGCACTAATTTATTCTTAGAATATTTAAATGTACTTACAAGCCCACCAGCTGTCCACAGAAATGCATGTATTGTCTCCATTTTCCCTGCCACACTCAGTCTCACCGGTAGGATCAACTAATCTGCCTGGAAGAGAATAAATTATACCTAGGATATAAGTTTATGTGACTTGGAAGATAAATGTTGATACTAAATGATACCAGGTTATGAGCTTGTGTGACTCAGAATATAGATGGTGATACTCTTTTGGGCACTACCCCCAAAAGTACCCTTTTGGGTACTTTCAGAGAAATTAGAAAAGGGAAGAGTTTGAGGGAAAAGATAATGATTTTAGTTTGGACATGTGTTTAAGACATCTCAGCAACAACCAATTTGAGATGTCTAATAGGCAGTTGGAGATATGTCTGGACAAATAATTCTGACAGTCAACTGTTCAGAGATGATAATTGAAATTGTGTAAACCAATGAGATCAACAAGTGAAATAGTTACGGAGGAGAGAAGGGCCCAGGATAGAGCCTTGGAGTGTCTCCACAGTTAGTAAGTATGAGATGAATGAAAATCCAGCAAAGGAAAGAGAAAAGGAAAGGTCAGAAAGAAGGAATTGCAAAGAGTTAAGAAAAGAGTGAAATGAAAAGAAATGGAGGCACCTAATGGAGATGGCCTTTTCAAAGAGTTTAGCCACACAAGAGAAATATAGAATCATAGTTTGAGGGCATGGAAAAAGTCAAGTGAATAATAGGGGAGATGAGTTGGTAGGCAGCAGGGAAGGATCTAGTAAAGAGAGTTTCAATATTGAGGGTAGGGATGGGACAGGGAACATAAGATTTAATGTTGTTGGACATAGGAGGTGATGAGATCCAGGGCACAGGTAGAGGAGTTGACCTGGCAAAGAAAAAAAAAGGAGAGGTATGGGATATTAGCTAGTTGGAATGGCTGGATCCAGTGAGGATTTTTTGAAAATAGAGGAGAAATGGTCATGTTTACCCAGTGAGTAAGGAAGTAGCCAGGAAAGAGGGTGTAGTTAAGGATTATGAGGGGATGGAATGGGTAAGAAATGGCAAGGACTAGAACTAGGTTAGTTTATCATGTTGGTGGAGAGAAATGGAAATGACAAGTATGAAGAATTTAGAGAAGTCTGGGTAAATTTATATGAATGAATGTAGAGTGAAGTGAGTAGAACTAGAAAAAACAGTAAAAATAACCGTAATGCTGTAAATAGAAAGAAAAAAAACCAGACTGAACCTTGAGTTGCTATAATGCTCAAATATTGTTCCCAGAAAAGAGATGAGAAAATACAACTCTTAATTCATTGGAAATGTAAGAGACTATAGCTGTTGAAATTTGTCCTCTCATTTCAGAAAAACCTGGAAAGACTTGTATGTACTGATGCTGATTGAATTGAGCAGCACCAGGAGAACATTATACACAGTAACAGCCATGTTGTGTGATGATTAACTTTGATAGACTTAGCTCTTCTCAGCAATGCAAGGATCTAAGTCATCTCCAAAAGTCTCATGATGGAAAATGCTCTCCACATCCAGAGGAAGAACTGTGGAATTGGAATACAGATCGAAGCATACTATTTGCTCTTATATTTTTCTCTTCTCTTCTGTTTTGTTTTGTTTCTTCTTTCTTGTGGTTCCTCCTATTGGTTCTAATTCTTCTTTACAACATGACTAATGTGAAAATATGGTTAATAAGAATGAATATATAGAGCCTCTATCAGATTGCACACCATCTTGGGGAGAGAGGCAGAGAAAATTTAAAACTCAAAAGCTTAAGGAAGTGAATGTTGAAAACTAAAAATAAATTGATTAAAGGAAAAAAAATTTGTCCTATCATGGAGGTGCACAAGAAGGCACTAGCTCTTCCAGAGAATCTACCTTTGAGGTCATGATTTAGGATAAGCAGCTAAGTAAAAAACCCCAGTTACTTAGACATTTGGGGAAATCAAAGCATTCAGGGAAAGATAAATCCTAAAGAGGCATTCCCAGGAAGCCAAAGCTCTCTTCTCTTCGCTGCCCTGTTTGCTCTCCCCCCTCCCTAAATCTTCTCCCAGGAATTCATCTATTACATAAAGAAACTAAGAACAAGAGAACTGAAGTGATTTGTCCAGGGTCACATAAGCAGTAAGAGGCAGAGATGGGCTTTGAATTCCAGTTCTGTGTATACAGCTCAAATATTAAAATGTTTTTGGAGATACTCCATTTCATATTCATAAAGTTTAGGACTCTTTCCATTGAACTCCTTATTGATCCTTGAAGGACAACTAGGTAGTGCAGTGGGTATAGTGCTGGCCTGGGAGTCAGGAGGACTCATTTTTGTGAATTCAAATCTGGCTTCAGACATTTACTAGCTGTGTGATCCTGGGCAAGTCACTTAACCCTGTTTGACTCAGTTGCTCACCTGTGAACTTGAGCTGGAGAAAGAAATGGCCAACCATTCCAGTATCTTTGCCAAGAGAACCACAAAGGGTGTCAGGAAGAGTTGGATACCATTGAAATAACTGAACAACAAAATGATCATTTAAATTTTCCTTTCTTGGAGCAAATCTCCTTGCACAATAACCTTCTCTGGGGGCAAAATAGGGATTATAGTGATTGATAAGGATTTGTAAAACAGTAAATCTTAACATCCTCTTCAGGTCCAAACTTGTATTTTTGTATTTTTTAAATACTGGCATAGTACATACACAATAATTGTAATTATTGGTTAATAGATTTTCACATAGTTGATGTGCTCAATAATTGTTGTTATAGTTGTTTTTTTTCTTTTTTTTTTTGTTGTTGTTGTCATTTGTCATTCATTCTTGAAGACGACCATGACATCAAGAAGATGATGCCATGACTTACAAGTGAATTGAATTTAAATGAGGAAGAGCTGTACAAAGTCACCAGCCTCACTTTCTCTTCTGGAGCCATCTGGGTCCAGTGGCAAGATACAGATCAGGATAACTGGAGATGTCCCCCTGTGCTCAATAATGTTAAATGAATGAATGAAAAGATGGGAGTCTAATTGTTAGAGGTTGAAAATTTATTATAGAAAATTGCCAATGTTGCAATAATTAAACTTATTTACCATTTGGCTCATTAATTTGTCAGTATTGCTGGCTGCAGTTTAAAACATATCTGGGTAAAGATTGTAAAATGCCTTCTTTAATCGATGAACACACATCAAATATTCCCAAGTAGTCAAGAGAACTACTGATAAAAGAGTATTCTTTTTATTTTGACAAGACAAATTTGATTGGGCTAACATATGTTGGGTAGGAAGAGGTGCTTCATAAGTTAAGTTCTTATAGTTTAATATGATCATAATGATAATAATCTTTTTGATGTCCATGCTTGATAAATAGGATGTTGATTTGTGAATAGTACAAGTCAAATTATAGTCTAATTCGGTTATTCTCAGTCATTGAAAGGTAGATAGCCACATTTCCTGTAACTTTAGGAAGATGAGTTCTATAAAAGAATTGTACCCAGGTATTCTTTAGCATTATTTGTGTTAAATTTTTTTTCATGATGACATATCATTGCATGTTAATATTGAGATGATATAAACTCTAAGGTATTTAAAGATTAAAACAGCTCCATAAATGAAATGCATAAGGAACCATGTGTAAAGGAAACTTCTAGTCCATAATAGATAAATGACACAAATTTCGAAAGGAAATCCATATGGTTAATAATCAATGCATAAGTACTCAACCTCAATAATAATCAAAGAGAAGCAACAGATTAAGATAATTTTTGGAGGTGCTGAAGCAGAAGACATACAGTGCCCTGAAAACTAAAAGCTTTTTAAAGAAACAAATTTTAATTAACAGTTGTTTTTCCAGCACCTTGTGAGGCCCCTCCTGAACTTGAGGGCATCCTAGAGTCTCTTTCCCTTATCTTGAGATACCATAAAACTTCCCCCCATCCTGGACCATAAAACTTCCTTCTCTCCCTCATGCTGACTCATAAAATTTCCCATCTTCCTTATCCTAAGTCTCCTATCCTGCCATCCATCTTCCTCATCCTGTGTCATGACAACCCCTCCCCTTATCTTGTAAGATAAAGCAGATCCCTATCCCTCTGTAAGTTGCTTGTTCTCTTTCCAGAACTAGCCTGCTGTTTTTGCATCAATAAAACTTCCAATGGTTACAGAGAAAGTATAAGTGAATTCTTTCACACCTGAACCAGCTCTCCCAACTCTAAACCTCAACAGTACCAATTTACATTCATAAAATTAGCAAAAAATAAAAAAAACCAACATAATGCTGGCAAGGCTGTGAAGAAACAGGTGGATTTTATCAGCATTTTATAGCTGAAAGAATTGCAAACTAGTAGAATCACTTTGGAGATGAGTACAAGTAGTACTGGTAATTTGGGTAATGTGTGGTAAAGATTACAAAAATAATCAAACCCTTTGAATTTATAATTCCATTGTTGGGAATATGCCCTGAGAGTATCATCAAAAAGAATAAAAAGTTTTTTTATTAGATACTATTTTAAATACATTATTTGTAATAGAAAAAAAGTGGAATCTACTCAGATGTTCAATTAAAAAATTTAAATAATGTAAAGAAAATTCATGATAAAATTAATATATATTACGTATAATTATGTGATATATAATTATATGTAAGATATAAGATAATAAAATATATTTAATATATATGGAATATAAGGAGATATGGAAATATTATGGGAATAGTGAAAAAGAACTAGAAAAACAGAATATACCCTAGCTATAATTATATAGGACAAAAAGGAAAAGGAAAAAAATGGACAAAAAAATCTTGATAGAGTTATAGAGGAGTGACAAAAAGTTGTTTAATTATACACATTTGCAAAGAGGGGTAACTGTTGTGTAATGTATAGGGAACTGACTTAAAGCCAAGAATATCAGAAATTAAGTCTAGCCTCTGACATATACTTGGCTGTGTGATCCTGATCAAGTCACTTAGCTTGTCAAGGCTGTAGGCATCTCTGTAAGACTACAAGTTGCAGAATGGTGCTAATTGGCATCAGTAGAAGGAGATTCTTCACTGAATGCCAATGGAATCACAAGTCCAACTTGTTAATATTATTTATAGTAAATTACTTAAAAAGAAAGGCTAAATGTCCTTACCCATTATTCCCAAAGATATGAGAAATGAGAAGTTCTAAGTCCAGGATATGGTAGAGAGGATCTTATAGTACTCTGGGGCATGAGACCCCTGAAGTAACCAAGCATTTGGAATGGAATCAATGGAATCAAACCATTCAACTTAGCTCCCAAAATAAAGTAGCCTTTTGGACTCTTTCTAGGCAGGAGATTATCTAGAATGACTCTGCTCCCATTCAGATCTAGATTTCTAGGCTATGATGGTCTAGAATCAGAAAGAATTTGATTGGAGGATTTTCATGTACTTATTTATTCTTTAATATAGCCAAGTAGATTTTCTGAAGTGCCTGACTAGTCTCTAAGATCTCAGTCCTGTGTGTCTTTAGTCATGCGTGACAAACCAGTCCAATGAGGGCTTTTGGGTTTATGACAAAGGGAGAGAAAGTGAGAGAAAAAGAGCAGATAAAAAGAAGTAGGGATAGGAAAAATCGTAGACTTATAGCACATTAGAACTAGAAGGGACCTAAGAGATTATCACACCTGCTACTTACTAGTTGTGCCTTGCCTTTCTTTAAGGCTCACCTCAGGTTTCCTCATCTGTAAAATGAAGGAGTTAGACACAGTAACTTCTAAGGTCCCTTTCAGCTCTAAATCTATGATCCCATGACCCTATGTTCCACCTTTCTGGGCACTCAAGGCATTAGTGGTCCTCTTTCCTCTAAAGATCATGCATATACTGACTTATCTGTCCATGCAATGGGTCTCTTAGCAGAATGTAAGGACATGGATTGTTTTTTTTTTAAATTTTGTTTTTGTATCCCAGAACCTAGCTCAGTGACATGCACATAGTCTTCATTTTATAAATGTTTATTGAATTGGATAAAACTTTAGTCAAATTACTTAAGTTATCTAAGCTTGAATGCTCCTGTCTCTAAAAGGCGGTGAACTGGCTAATCTCTAAGATCTTAAAGGATCTCTAAGGACTCTTCTAGATTTAAAGCCATTAGGTTAGTTTTAATAGACCAATCCTTTCTCTTCATAGATGAAGAAAGAGAGGATCAGCAAGATTAAGTGACTTGGCCAAGGTCATACCATTAGTTAGTTGTACAACTAGGGTGAAAACACAATTCTCCTGATTCTGGGTCTAGTGCCACTTCTATAGTATCACACCAAGGAAGGAAGGAAAAAAACATGAGTAAGAGAGAAAAGGAAGAAGATCCTATGTCAAGGAGCAGTAGAAGACCATCAATAACAGCCTAGGGAGTGGTTTATGCACTGAGAAAACATGACTCATCTCCAAGAATGGCTCTCATCACATTGTGAGAGGTGGCAAAAAGTTCAAAGGACAAGTTTGGGAGCAGATTCTTAAGAGTACTTCAGAAAGAAACTGGGCTTAAGTCCAGTATCTCAACAATTTGGGGCCTCAAATCAAATAACTAGCACAGCTCTAAATCCCATAAGTCTGTAGACAGTTCAGAATCAATGGAAATTTTTGAGCAGGGGAGTGACATAGACAAAATGGAATTGTAGATATGCTTTGCAAGGTGTGGAGAAAAAGAAAAAGGGAGCTGAAGAGGGAAGATCTTGGCTTATGTTGATTTGAAGCTTATTAAAGCTGTTATAGATCTTAGAGATCATCTGGTCCAATCACTTCATTTTATCGAGGAGGAAATTGAGTTTCAGAGAGCTTTTATGCCTTACTCAAGATCACCCAGGAAGTAGGTAGGAGTGATGGATTAAGATCCTCTGAATCCAAATTCATTCCATTCTGCTACAGGACTGAGTTAGGCTCCTTTGCCTGCTATTTAAGAGCCTCCATGAGAGCCAGGCTACCACCACCACCACCACTAAAAACAACAACAACAACAATGAATCTCCATAATTTCCTCCTTAACTTCTACAAATTCAACTCCCATTGCCATTCTTATACAAATGTGATGCCCTGACAAACTGATTTGCTGTTTCCTGAAAATGCCATCTCCATTGTTGTTTTTGCCTCCTGCCTGGGATCCTTTACACAATTTCTTTTCACTTATCTAAGGCCTCTCTGCCTTCAAAGCCTAGTTCCTTGACACTTTCTGTAGCATCTTCTTTGAATCCCTCAGTTTTTCATTGTCATTCCCTTTTCTGAAATCCAGAAGCACTATTTTTGGCACAGCAAATGGTGCCTTAAGTTTTTGTATTTTTATTTTGTTGTTGTTGTTCAGTCATTTAGGTGATGTCTGACTCTTCATGACCCTATTTGGAGTTTTCTTGGCAAAGATACTGGAGTGGTTCGCTATTTCCTTCTCCAGCTCATTTACAGATGAGGAACTGAAGCAAACAAGGTTAAGAGCCTTGCCCAAGATCACACAGCTAGTAAATCTCTGAGGCTGATTTTGAATTCATGAATATGAGTCTTCTTGATTCCAAGCCCAGTGCTCTATCCACTGAACCACCTAACTAACCTTTATTTTGTTATATTTATTTAATTTTACATTATATGGCCATTTCTTATCTCCTCAGTAGGAGTGAAATACTCTGGCAGGTAGTGTGCTATAGGTAGAAGTGCAAAGAATATGGAATCATAGGACCTGGTTTTAAGGACTTACTCATTTGACATTGGGCTAGTCACTTGATCTTTTTGAACCTGAGTTTCCTCATCTTTAAAATGGCAATAATAAAACTTGTACTTCCTGCTTCAGAGTGGTGGTGAGGATCAAATAAGATATTATAGGTAAAACACTTTGTGAACTATATAAACCATAAATGAAAATTAGCATTACAGTTTATACATAATAAATCTATAGCTAGAATGTCATCAGTTAGTCAAGTTGTATAACCTTCTCACTTTATAGATAAAGATATGAATGACCTGTGACTTTATATTTGGTTAGAAGGTACTACAGAGCTCATCTCTTCCAAGCTCTTCATTTTACATGTGATGAAACCAAGAGGTCACATGACAAAAATCACATAGATAATATATAGCTGAACCAGTATTTAAACCAGTTGCAATGTTCTCAAATCCAGAATTTTTTGTATCTTCAACAACTCCCACAGCATCTCACATATGGTAACCATTAAATCTTCATCAGTCAATCAGTGTTGATGATGATGAATCAATTTCATGACACATTAAGTTTCCACCCTACGCAATTTCGTGGTTACAAGTTTCATGGTTAGAAGTATTCTTCTACTAAACAAGCTTATTCTTACCTGTTTCATATTGCCATCCATGCTGCAGAGGTAGTCCCCATAAGATGTTTGCTGCATTATTTGGTGCAAATCTTTCAAAATATTCAGCTGTAACTGTAATCAAGGTTTTGTACATCCCCATTCTTTCAGGATATAGCCATGGATTAATGGTGTACACCCCATCCTCTACTCTATAGTCACTGAGTTGGCCAGGACATTCCTTCCAAAGTGGAGGATAGAGATCTGTAAGACTTGACGTTTCTACTAAAAAAGCAGAAACATAGCCAGCTAAGACACAAAGTAGGGAAGAGAGCAAAAGCATCATCACTGGGGCTGTGATTTGTAGAGTGTGGCAGGAGGTTTATATAAGAATGGATGGGGAAGTGATGGTATGCTTTCCTTGATAAGGAAATCAGAGATTATCAATCAGAGAGACCGCTCATTTACACGCTGGAGACACTGTGGGGGGAGAAAGAGTACAAAATTATGCTCCAGAGACTGTCTTAAAAAGCCAACCTGTTTAATATGTGGCAGTTATAACCAAATAATTCAGAACACACTTACATATGTAACTTGACCTTTTGCTCACCTGGGAAAGAAAACATGTGGGAATCATGCAGTATTTTCTTATCACAGAAAAAGCATGCTTGCAGCAGGTTTTTTGAGCAAATTAATGTTTCAAAATTTTCCTTAAACTATTTTTTTTGTTTTTAAACCCATTTATTTTCTCTTCAAAAGAATCAGAAAAACTAATTTATTTACTATATACCTGTATTCAGTGCATAGAGGGCTCTAGCCTACCACCAAAGGTTGAACCCCCAAAACTTGGTATCTGTGACCATGAATAGGATTAATATTTCACATGATTTTTTTCTAGAAGTAATTGGACTATGTTGTGGCTTGAAAATAGCTTCTCAGTGAGAGTAAAGGATCTAATTTATTCATTAAGTAAACATTATTCAGCAATCCCTGTGTTCAAGGCATCGTGATAGGTGCTGGAGATACATTGATGAAAAGCTATGCATTCACAATATTTTTCCCTTTCACCCTCTTTCATGCACTGTACATTACAGCTAATGTAGGCCACTGGAAGGAATCTGGAGGACTGTTCAAAGAGCTTGCAAAGTTACTACAAGAAATTATTATTCATAGAAGGATACAACTTGTTGATATGCAGACAAATCAATACAATAAGAGATAGAATGGAATAGGGAAAAGGAAAAGTCTGGGCAAAGTAGTATAGAAGAATTTAAAGAAGGAGAAATCGCATTTGGCTCAAGGATCAGGGAAGATTTAACAGGGTAGTGGTCCCAGAGCTGGGGTCTTGAAGGAAGAAGCAGATTTCAAAAGGAAGAGAGAAAGAGGTGGTGCCTTGTATGCATGGAATAGAGCATAGAAGCAAGAAAGCCCAGGCTGAGATTAAAGAACAGCTAACTGAGTTTAACCAGAATGGATATGACACAAAAATGAGAGAAAGAAAAAAAAAAGACTAGAAAAGAAGGTTGAAATCAATTTGTGGAAAGTCTTAAATTCCAGGCTAAAGAGTAGGGATTTTATCTTACAGGGATATGAAACAACTAGAAGTTTTTGGGTAATCAAGTAATGAATCCCTAACTGTAGGAATCAGCTATGTGGCGTAGTAGATAGAGTGCTGGACTTGGAATCCAAAAGATATCAATTTAAATTCCACCTCAGACATTTGTTAACCCTGTGCTGCTGAGAATCACTTAAACTCTATTGGCTTCAGGTTTCCCATTTGTACATTGGAGATAAGAACAGGACTGTTATGAGCACCAAATAAAGAAACTTCAAAGCATTATATAAATATTAGCTTTTATTACATAAGGTAGAGTATTTTGGCAAGGGTTGAATTGGAAAGAGGAGACACTGGAGATGGAGGGATACATCAGGAACCTATTATAATAGTTCAAGTAAGAGGTTTTGAGGACCTGAACTAGTTTGAGAGGAAAGGATGGAAAAAGAGAATGGAATTTGATTTGACAATACTTGATGTTTTAGGGAAGGGGGAGAAGCAAAAATGACTCTAAGGAGTGGGCCTGGATGACTGGTGTCAATAGAAACAGAGAAATTAGAAGGAAAGGGGGATTTAAGAGAATGATGAATTCAGTTTTGTTGGTGGCCTTGCCTAAGTAATTGGATGTATGAGAATGGAGCTTAGGAGTGAGGCCTGTTAACTATAGGCTTTATGGTTATGTTGATTTTAATTTTATGTATTATCAATGATTTGGAGCATTTTTTCATGTGACTGTGAATATTCTGCAATTCTTTTTGAGAACTATTTGCTCATATCCTTTGATCACTTCTCACCATTGGTCATACCCAAACACATATATGTATATATGTGTGTGTGTATGTATGTATATATACATACATATACATGTATATACACACATATACAGGAGAAAGAGAGAGAAAGAGAGAGAGAGAGAGAGAGAGAGAGAGAAAGAGAGAGAGAGAGGGAGGGAGAGAGAGAATTTATCTATCTTGAATATCAAGCCATAATTAGAGAAATTTGATACTAAGGTTTTTCTCTCATTTGACTATATCTTTTCTTCTCCTATATACATTAATTTTGTCTATGCAGAAGCTTTTCAGTTTCAGATAGTCAAAGTTGTTATATATTTTATCTTTTGCAATTGTCTCTTTGTCTTGTTTATTTAAGAATACATCTCCTACTCAGAGTTGTAAGAAGTATATGATCTGTTTCCGTTGTTCAGTTGCTTTTCAGTCATGTCCAACTCTTTTTGACCCCATTTGGGGTTTTCTTGGCAAAGATACTGAAGTAATTTGCCATTTTCTTTTCCAGCTCCTTTTACAGATGAGGAAACTGAGGCAAACAGGGTTAAGTGATTTGACTAGGGTCACATAGCTAGTAAGTGCCTGAAGCCAATTTGAACTCAGGTATTCCTGACTCCAGGCCTAGTACTCTATCAACTGCATCACTGAGCTTCCCTGGTATATGGTCTACTTCTTTTGTAATTTTTTATATTCAGATCATTAATGTTACATATTCATTTAGAATGTATTAAGGAATATGGCATAAAGTGTTAATCTAAACCTAATTTCTGCCAGACTTCTTTCCAGTTTCCCTAGCAGTTTTTATCAAATAAGGTTTTTTTTTTCTTGGTAATTTATTTCCCCAGTAATTTTGTCAAACACTGGATTATTGTGTTCATTGCTTCTGGTTTTTCTTTGTCTTATCTATTCCACTAATCTATCTATTTTTTAAACTACACAAGATGGATAACTACTGCTTTATAATACAGTTTGAGGTGTAGAAATACTGTTCGCCTTTCATCCTGGTTTCTTTTCAGCATTTCCCTTGATATTCTACATCTTTTTTTTTTTTTTACAAATGAATTTTCTTATTATTTTATCAATGATTACAAAGTATCCAGTTGGGTAATTTGGTTTATATGGCATTAAAAATATAAATAAACTCGGGAAGTATTGTCACATTTATCATAGTGGCATGGTCAAGTCATGAGGACTGAATATTCCTCCAGCCATTTAAGTCATTCTTTATTTCCTTAAGAAACACTTTGTAATTGAATCTATCCAAGTCTTTTGTGTGCTTTGATAGGTCTATCTCCAGATGTTTTATTCATTTTTACTTATTTAAAATGGGATTTCCCTTTCTATTTTTGCTTCTTGTGCTTTGTTATTATTACAATACAGAAATGTTGCTTTTTTTGAGGGTTTATTTTGTAGCCGATGATTTTGCTGAAGCTATTAGTTATCTCAAATGGCATCCCTGCTCTCAAGGATTTTCAAAGTATATCATTAAGTTATCAACAAATAGGGGTAGTTTTCTCTCCTCGTTTATCTTTATGCCTTTTCTTACAATCCATTAGATTGTAAGCTCCTTGAGGTTAGGGACTATCTTTTGCCTCATTTTGTATTCCTATTGCTTAGCACAGTGCTTGACATAGTACATGCTTAATAAAGATTTAGTTATTATTTCTTTCTCTTGTCTTAATGCTTTCGCTAACATTTGCAGAACTATATCGAATAACAGTGGGAAGATTGAACATCCTTTCTTCACTCTCATATTTATTAGAAAAGGTTCTAGTATATCCCCATTGCATATGATGCTTAATTTTTTGAAAATTTAGATAGGTGCTTTTTAAGATGTTTTAAAATGTCCTTCTATGCCTATACTTTCCAGGTTTTTGTTTGTTTGTTTTAGTAGAAAAGAGTGCTAAATTGTCAAAGGCTTTTTCTATATCTGTTGAAATGATCATATGGTTCTAGATGTTTAGGTTTTTAATATTATTAATTATGTTATTATTTTCCTAATTTGAACCATCCTTGTATCCCAGGCATAAAGATAGTACTTTTTGTAAAGAGTAGTATAAATTATATCCCTAAAAGAAAAAATAAAGCAAAACAAAACAGAATTTCATGACCACAGATATTCAAGTGGCCAGATTGGGGATCCAGTATGGAGTATAATTAATGTTTGTCTCTTTGGGTTTAGGGCCAGTTTTTAACTGTGCTAGTGTCTTCCTTTACTATTCTTCCTTTATAATATTATTATAATATTTTCCTTTACCATTCTTCAAACTACAAACCAGGTTTGTACTTCTGCATACATGAATCTCATCATCTTTCTGGGCAAAGGGTACTAATTTTGCCAGACTTCCTTGATCTTCCCAAGTTAGGGATGGCCAATAGGTATCATATCCTGGACTAAGAGTTATTAGTAATATAGACTGTGGGAAAAATAGAACATGTCTTTAAAAGAGCATTTTCACCAATATTCCTATTTCCAATGCAGGTATAATTACCCCAGTGAGGAATCACTATGATTATAAATCAGTATGGACATACATACGTACACTTATATATATCCATATGTGTATGTATTTATATATACATATTAATTAAGCTTGTATTTATTTTTTGTAAGTTACAATAATGAAAAACTCCCACAGGCTTTGAACTTTGAAATATTTTTTTCTTGACTTCAATTTAAACATAATTAAAAACTAAGACAATACTGACCACCTTGTCACCCTTTTTAAAAGATAACTTTACATGTATTCAAGGCATTATATGTACAAACACATAAGTGTTTATAACAATTTTGTCCTTGGAAAATCTAGTTCCTAAGCATGTAGGCCTTAAATATAAATATAATAAGATACCCAGGAATGGTTCTTGGGGATCATTTGGGGAAAGGTAAGGGAGAAGTGATACCATACTTTAGAGTTGATCTTTTAGTATGATCATCTAGGCAAATACCCTCATTTTGTACACCAGGAAACCAAGAGCCAGAGAGGTTTTGTTAGTGGTCCA